TTAAGTTGAGCTATCTTTATTCCTATAGGCATTATATTCGCAACAACACAAGCCGCTTCATATGAAATGGTACCCTTTAATCATCCTTATTTCCATGATTCTTTGCACTCGCTGCAGTTTTGCCATTATTTTCTTATTATTTATAACTGAATCAGTGTAACTGAACCACACCAATAACAAATAAATCTGACGTAATCTATAAAATCAATTGTTCAAACTGTTCGGCAACTAACATCGGTCTTAGATACCAATATCGGGATAAGAGATTTAAGCAAGTTTTATGATTGCAAAAAACCCAAGCAAAATCCTACAGCACTCGCCACCCACCATTTTGAACGCAAACACAATTTCGACTTCAACAATCCAAAAATATTACGCACAGAACAACAAACATTAACGTACCTTTTTAGAAATGGTTTACATCAACACAGATTAACATAGCATCAATTACAGAACAGACACTTGTAAACTCAGTCGCAGCTACGCCAATATCATTAATGAAATTCAATATCGATAACATACATATATCATCACATCACACAAAACATAATATAACATATAAAACATTCATCAATTCCACAAATCAAACATTTTTACATCGTCTAATTTTTCAACGATTTAACTTTCATTTTCCTATTTATCCCCGTCTATGTAATCCTGAAAGGATAATCTAGCCGAACCATTACCGTTTTTCCAATCGTCGGCTCTTTTCACCCCAAAGAAGCCGACTCCTTATATAAAAATGTCTTTCTATACCGACTTCCTTCCCACCTCTTCAAAATCCAACGTAGAGATTCAATCAATTCAGCAAAATGATATTTCGTCTGCTAAAGCTAGATGTGTCAAACGTCGCCCTTTTATGTCCATTTATTTATCTTATAGATATTTCCCTATCACATGGCGTATAATAAAAAATTTCACATTTGATTTTGAGCACTAATGTTGTGTCATCAATGGAACAAAAGGCTCTGAGTAAGCTATTTTTAGTTCTCCAGTTTTGCCAACTTTCTCCATTTACAATTTAGTTGTTATCTATTTAGCCGTAACTTGTTTGTTTTTTGATATATAGTCACGATTAAGAAATGTGCCTCTAGAATGAACATTATTTTCTATTTCTAATTATAATAAGAGAGAAAGTGGCTAGGGCCTTATGTTATGAGGTAGATGCAAATACAAGTTATGTTAAAGGCTTTATACACAATATTAAACAGTAGAGAAAAAGTTTAAAAAGTTCACTAATAATAAATTACACACTTATAAAAACAATAATAACATTTAAATAATCATTGGGAAGCTCCAGGTATTGACGCAGTACGTTATCCAATGCAAAAATGGTTCCCACCCTCGGCTAAATATCACTTGCTTCATATATTCAACTCAGTATGGATAGAAGGGAAAGTTTAAAAAGTAATGGGCTGCTCAAAGTATTATCCCCCTTCGAAAGTCGGGCAAGCCGTCGGAATATGCTTTATCCTATAGGCCCATAGCCCTCTCATCATGTATTTTGAAAGCCTTTGCGAGAATGGTTAAAAAAAGGCTGGAATGGTCCGTGGAGTCGAAAGGCATGTTTCCAGAGTTCCAACATGGGTTTAGAAGGCAACACAGTGTGAATTTGTCGACATTTATTGCTGACACTCAGTGTAGTATGTCCAATAATGAGGTGACTTTGGTAGTGTTTTTTGATATCACGAATGCCTACAATAATATCACCATCAAAATATTAAGCCAAATTTTGATAAAGGAAGGCTTTCCCTCAATATTAACTCGTACCATTATTAACCTAATAGCGAAAAGAACGCTGTATCTCAGAGTTGACGACCGCACATACGGTCCCCGAGAGGTGTACCAGGGCTTTCCGCAAGGTGCAGTTCTCAGTCCCCTTTTGTTTGGAATTTATACTTCTTCTCTGCAAAAACTAATTGCCACTCACAGCCAGGTGAAAATGTCTCACGATATCGCATTATACCTGAGCGGAAAGACGGTCGCTACAATCAAATCCGATCAATCATTTTGATACGTGGGCCTCAAACCTGGGACTGACGATTTCAGAGGAAAAAAGTGCTGCAATGGTTAAATATCGTAAGAGAAATATCCCACAATCGGATCAAATTCGTCTAGGCCCTTACGATATTAAATTAGTTGATGATTACAAATTTCTTGGGGTGATTATAGACCAGAGAATGTTGTGGAAACCTCACATAAAATACGTTGAAGAAAAGTGTAAGCAGGCTTTAAATATATTAAGGTGCGTGGCGAAGGTAAAATATGGGGCCCACCCCGATAACACCCTATTGCTATTTAAATCTTTGCTTCTTTCGCGTTTGGATCTGGGTTGTTTTTTCTATGGAAATGCGGCAAAATCACACCTTAACCGGCTGGATTGTATCCAATTTAGAGGCTTGAGATGTTGCATTGGAGCAATGCAGTCTACTCCAACTAACGCACTCCTCCTTGAATCTAATGTAGAGAAGAGACCGACCTAAGAAGAGAACGACTGGTTATAAATTTCCTTCCTTCTCGTTCCAATAAAAATGAACACCCTGTTGCAGATATACAATCTTCTCTCCAACTAAAACCGTGGTTTAATAGCATAAACAGACGTAGAAGATTCTTCACTTCCATATGCAGACTGCGTCTTAAACATAACAGACTACCCCATCACTTCTATAAGATAGGAGTGAAAAATAGTGAATGCTGTGAGTGTGATGGCTCCAGCAGAGCCGACGCAGACCACATTCTACTCGCATGCGCGCTTTGCTCCGTAGGTAAAGAGAGGTGCCACTTTAATTTCCAAAAGAGTCCCACTTCCGACTAACATTGTCCAAGTTCTGAGATTAGGCGATTTGGATGTTTTAGATGCCGTATACAATATTCTGACCAGCAACTACCTGGACATTTATAGAAGAGAAAAAATAGCAGCTGAGATTGGATGGGGGGTCGCTGGGCCGGGGGCGGTCGTCCTCGGGTGTCGTTTGGGTACGGCATGGTGGGAACCTGGGCACGGGATGTGGACTTTTCCATAGGTGTACAATTGTAAATGGTTTTTGTCTACATCCTTCTAAAACACCCGGAGGGGGAAAATAAAAAAAAAAGACCCCGTCGTATCTCCCTGGGCGGCTGCCCGCGGCGGCGGTGGCACTCCGTCGGTCTCACGGGGAAATAGGTATATGGCTAATGCCGAAAGGTTAGGCAAAAAAAAATGAATAATAATCAGGGCGTAAAATGACCTTAGCCGTTTAAAACGCCCTTAAAAATTAATAATAATAATAATCATTGTGAATATTGGGAATACACAGAACAATGCAAACGGTCCGTGGATTGTCTGCCTGCAAATGGTTATCTGATAGAGGAGGATCGGGGAAGAGGCCAGCCAGAAAAACTTCAATTCTTTTCAAGCTTTCGGTACATTTGTTACCTTTATCAGGACTTAGAATCTAAACTTTTAATACAATATGGGTGAAAACTGCATTTGGCTAGTGGTTTTTACAGAGAGAGATTCTTCCTCTATCACATAATGCAAATAATGGCATTTAATCAAATATTTATACGTCTGTATTTTCCAATTTTTGGAGAGGCCTAATGCTTTTGTAATTGAATTGAATGTTAAACATTATCAATCAACTTCAACCCAGTTTTATTACTTTATGCTTATTCTGTATTCAAAGCAATACACATCACATCAGGAATGTATAATTATTTTGTGGTAGTTTTAGATGGCTTAAGTCCATCAGCTACCCATTGAATTTCGCGGATGGGTGGGGTCAAACCACTTTACAAAACTTTCTTTTAATTAATCTTAAACAAAATTCCAAGGGGTACGCCAGGATTCGAACTCATAACCGCTAGAATGGTGAATATGTACGCGTCATTCTTACCACTCGGCCTATTGAGTCAAATGTCGTGGGTTCGAATCCATCATCTCAACCAAGACCTTAGACCGAAAGAAAAATTAATTTAAATATTTAATATGGTCAATTATGACTGCTAAACATGTATGGATTAATATAGTTTAGTTATGTTGCAAATTCACTTTGTAATTGTAATTTTGAATATATTCAGTAGATTTTGATTCCTAATTTAAATAACTGTTTATTTTATTTGAATATTACATACGCTATATTTTATGTGCTACATGGAAGTTTAGTAAATAAAACCCCTCATAATAGGGTTAATGTTATGACCCCAGTATACTCGGTATTCCTCAGGGTCGTTTTAATAAAAATCAATTTATATTTAATTATATCTATCATAGTTAATGTTCTTATAATGTTTTTATTTAATAATGTATATTTGTTTTTAAATTAGGTAGTTTTATAAACTCAGTTCAATATTGCATACCTGTTAGACACATGTAGAAGTAAAAACATGTAAACAATAAAAAATAAAAAAGCCACCAAATATTGTTTTAAATCCAAACTTATTCAATAAAACAAACCAAACTGTCTCAAAAAATTCAGTAATAACGTTCCTAAGTCTTTGATCATTGTAACAAAAGAATTCAGTTTTTACGAATCGATAATCAATTTGTGAATTTACTCCAGTTTTTAAGTTTATATATTTTTCTTTCTTGTTAACTTTTTAAAAGCAATTGATTGTAATATAACCTCGGTACAATGCCACATTGCAATTTTAAACAGCAGGGAAAAGTTATAAGTATGGGACTTGATTTGTAAAATGCCGACATTCTGTCATGTTGATACAACTGGTTAATCCGGCTTAACCTGACAAAGAAAAAGTATTTTTAAGCAACGAATCTGTCATTTACGATCTTGATATGTTTGTTTAAAATATTGTTGAAAAATAAACACTTTCAACAATTAAAATTGAAGAATCGAATGAGAAAAATGGTAAACTCAGCTTGATTTTTTCTAGTTCAGAATATATGTACAGGTTTTCGTCCTATTTCATTAGGCACAAATGTATCTTTGAGGAGGGATTGGCTCTGATGAGGACGAAGAGGGGATTGAACAACAGGCTTTTTGAGTCGTGCATTGCAAACTTCTATCAGAAGTGTCATCGCGCGGGATGAGGTCCGCAGCACCGACGGAAATGCAGAATCTGGAGAATCCAGTGCCGGACGTAACGTTCTCGGACATAACGTATTCCGTCCCTTATTCTAGTTTCAACGTTTTTGATAGGAGTGAGTAGCCCGGCTTTTATTTTCTATCTTATAACATGCCACGTATATATATATATGTGTGTGTTCAATCTCGGGAATGATACTCGTTAAATAATTGCACTATTATTCCACTACTGAAAGCGGAAAAAGGTTTTATTGCTAAATTATAAGTCATCATAAAAGTACATACTGACAATTATTAAAACACAACATCAGCAAGCTCTCTGTCAAATGTTTTATAAAACAGTTCCGTCAAAGACGTAACATTAAATAATATTTATACGCAATTACTGATTTCTGCCTAAATAAATAACACCAGTGTAAACATATTTTTAAGAGATCACTATTCATATGTATTGTATACTAACAATATGGAAGGTGTTCTCTTGAAAAACTATGCAAATATTTACAACCATTATCTCGCTGACTTTCCATGGGACATTCAATGCTACCCCATATTTGCATCTGGTATGTTAAATAACTAACTGTTAAATAACTACTCAAGGAGTTTTGTTGTGTACACTTTAAAAAAATTTTTTTTTGCAAATATATCACACGATTCTCTCAACTTTAATATCTGATCATACACAACGTTTATAGTACAGGATAGTCGAACTCTTTCATTAGTTTAAACTTTCTTCAATTTTTTTGAGTACGATTTAAGAATTATCACATATAATAATATAGGGTTACAACCCCTAAAAGCTAATTTTATTCGTCAGCATGAGATTGACAGGATATTAAACCACATGTTATTATTTGCATCTTGTATGTTAAATAACTTACTGTTAAAAAGAAATATTGCGCATCATAGCGTCAAATCAAATTATTTTTATAAAATCTATAAGAAGTGGTTGGATAAAGATTTGTATTCTTCAACGGAGAATCGGATAATGGATATCAATGGTCATGTCGGTTATGAAGTAGTCTGATTACATAATAAAAACAACTGTACCCCAAAAGATTAAAAATATGTCTACTAAGCTAAACTCATAAATTCAATATGGTCGAAACAAATTTTAATTATTGTAAAGTTTAAAGATAAATGAAAGATTTTCTATTTAATTCCCGCTCAATAGTTTTTCTATAATTGGGCTCTCTATTAGTATTGGGTTGTCCGGAAAATAATGCAGGATTTTGGTATTAAACAAAAAAAAAGAAACTAGTTACTTTAAAGCAATGTTCTTTAATCAAAATAATTTCNATGAGTAATCCTGTAAACGTAAACAGAATATTTTATATAGATTTTTTTTAATGAAAACTTAAAATCCTGCATTATTTTCCGGACAACCCAATATACTAATAGTTAAGCTATGTCTTAATTAGTTGTAAGCAAGTTTTATGATTTCAAAAAACCCAAGCAAAATTCTACAGCATTCGCTCACAACACAAACACAATTTCGATTCAACAATCCAAAAATATTACACACAGAACATTAACGTACCTTTTTAGAAATGGTTTACATCAACAGAGATTAACACAGTATCAAATACAGAACAGACACTTGTAAACTCAGTCGCAGCTACGCCAATATCATTAATCAAATTCAATGTCGATAACATACATATATCATCACATCACAGAAAACGTATAATATAACATATAAGACAATCATCACATTCCACACATCAAAGAATTTTACATAGTCTAATTTTTCAACAATTTAGCGTTATTTTCTTAATTATCCCCGTCTATCCTGAAAGGATAATCTGGCCGAACCAATACCAACCTTCTTTCCTATCGTCGCCTCTTTTCGCCTCAAATGTCTTTCTATACCGACTTCCATTGCCACCCCTTCAAAATCCAACGTATATAAACATAAAAGAGCAATATCTCACTGGCACTCTCAACACGAAACGCAAGAATGGCACACATACGCAGAAAACAAACGCTTTGAGTGAGTAGAAATACTTTGACTGAATATAAAAATTTTTTTTTTGAATTGTATAAATTCACTTTTTTCCAAATCCTACGTGTATTTGTTATATTTAAACAACGTTTGTAAATCCCAGACTCTGAAGATGATTCCAATAAAGATCTGACGTTTTTCTGAAACCTACGACACACCAGACCACATCTCACGATTTCCGAATAATCATTTACTAATAAATAACATTCATTCCAATATGTTAACATAAATACAACACCCGATACATACATAAAAGTCTGGTTTCATTCAGTCCCCAGAGTACTCGATATTCCTCAGGGCTGGGTTGAATCCACTCCATTCTCGCAACACAATGTCAACTCTCGAGAAACCACACATACACGCATTTATTTTTAAAAAAATTCTACAAAATCAATGTACAAATAAACCATCCTTAAAAATTTGTTAGTTCTAGTACATCAAAATCGTCATTAAGATTTCATAAATGTTGAGGTTTTAAAAATTGAAAGATTTATGAAATTTAATATTTAAGTGGTACAACTCGTCGTTTAACTACATACTAGGTCACGTCCTAACTGAGCAGATTAAACGAGAAGGAAGCTGTTACAGCCCACATTCAAATTTAAAAGGGTTTCGTTCGGTTTGATACGTTTAAAAACGCTGGCCATATTTGTGCGGATTTGTTTTAATATACTGCACCCTTGCGTTGTTACTACTATTACAGGATTAGTTTAGTTATTTATGTGTAATTGAACTTTTCAGTGATTTCGAAGTTGCTATCTAATTTTTTTAAACCAATTTCAAAATTAAGCTCTTTCTCAATATCAGACTTCCAAATATTTTACAAAATGATGATTTATGCGTAATGACTAGATTCCGACTGTCAGTATTAATTTTCCTAGATATGTTACTTATATTAACGAAAAAGAAAAAAATCTATTTAAAAAAAATCTTTTATTAATTCAGCGGAAATTAACGTCTTACTTAATTGACGTCGCATCCTTAGTTCAATCCCTAAACAATAATTATATGGGTATTGTACATCATTCTCGTGTTTTATAAATAATATACAGGGTGCCCTTTTTAGATGACCAGGCTGAATTTCTCTTGATGAAGATAACATTATCAAAAAACACGTTTTTAATATTTTTTAATCTAGTTTCAAATTTTTACTAACTTCTTAAATTATTTATTGTCACGATACTTCAGAGCCAGTACAACTTTGAAATTGTAAATAAGAAAATATACTTTTCTACCCGCCATTTTAAAGGAGTTTTGTCCACTAAAAACGATATCGCAATCAGATTTTCAGTTGATTAAAGAATAACAAAGTTATGGTACATGTGAAAAGAAATATATTAATTTCGTTTTTATTTGTAAGTATTTTTATTTGCTGATTTGCTGTTTTGTGATTTTCTTGGAGTTATGTTTATTTACGCACGTTTTTTAATTGAATTTTTTAAAAAGGTAATGTTTTGTGTCTTTATTTCTTTTATATTTTTCTGTTGTACATGAAGTAGCGTACTTCCGAAGGACATCTAGCGACCCCTCGGAACTCAAGACGAAACGGGAACAGCATCGTTCAGCGAAAACCATTCCTGAAGGAAATACATTAGTATAACCAGAGCCGCTTTTTGGGATGTGCATGCGCTGTAATGAATGGAAGGGTGCGTTTTTCTCGTCAAGATCGGGTTGATATGTACAGTACTTTCATTGGAGTGGCAGGATTGCTTGTGCGGTTGAGTTGTACTCTCAAAAATTTCCCAACTGCTCCTGAGTGAACGACAAATCGCTTATTCGTGTTGAGTACAATATGAGGAAATGTAGATCCGCTGGGGAGGGGGGGGCTGCTTCTCAAGGAATTGGCCACATCATTTTAATGAAGAACTAAACAATTTGTTGTGTTGTATTCTCAAAAATCCACACTCCTCCCTTCGAAAGACTGAAAGGGTTTTTCAAAGAGCAAGATTAGAGATGTCCTTTGAACATAAAATATACATCTTGTCCAGGGGCTTCGGGACACACATTTTGATAGACGGTTAATGTACCTTTCAGAGATGTTGATTTGGGTAAAGAAGAATACATTCTCACATACATCCTGTGGACTGATAAATACAATTTCACCACAAATGGTATTCTCAATGGTATTTTCAAACGTGGACACAGGAAACCGCGAATCAAGTATCCATGTTATCAACAAGTAGTTCATATTCTGTCTTTCTGCTGTTATTCTTTGATCAATTTAAAATATAATTGCGTCATCGTTTTCACTATAAAAATCCTTTAAAACAGCGGGTAAAAACGTGTTTGTTCTCATTTAAAATTTTAAAGTTGTACTGGCTCTAAAGACTAAAATTAAAATAAGAGGTAAACATTTAAACTAGTTTAAAAAAACGTAGTAAATATGTATTTTTTGGTTGTTCGATAACGTTATCTGTTCAAGAGATATTCTGCCGGGCTATCTAAATAGGACACCCAGTAAAAGGTAGCAAGCCTATCTTGCAAATTTCCTATATAATTCTAATATGGCTTGTTTTGGAGGTGTATCCACAGCCTCACTACTTTTTGGTTTTTCAAAACCAAATGTTTGAACGTGTAATAAAAAATTGCTAATGATTATGGCATCCAAGTCCCAATGTAGTCGCTGTATATAATGATGTCTGATATAAACCAACTCTAAAATGTTAGTTTAATAAAAGTACATATTCACGAATAATCTGGATCTCAGTGTAATCTGTAAGTTTTTAATAGAAGATTTCAAATTTCATTGAAGACCGACAATTTCTTTGAAGACCGACTTAGTTTCAACATTCACCATCAACAACCATATTTGCCCTGATGTTGACCTTAAAATTGATCGAAAGTTTTGCAGTAACATTTGAATTTTTTTCATCCAGACTATACCGAGATCCAAATTATTATAAGTTTAACACTTTAAACAAATAATATTTACCATTCACGAAACACGCCAATTAAATTTACTATATTCCCCAATGCTTAAAGTTCAATAACAGGACATTATAAGCGTGTACTGTTTTATTTTAAATAAATGAGGATTACTCTGCAATTCCTAAATAATAGACTTTTCAGTAATTTGTACCATTTCCACATTTTGGTTACAGTTTGCCAAATGTTAAAGGTGTCATGACTTCTGGATGTCACATGAGGAAACATAATTGTAGCAGTGTAAGTGGCAACTAGTAGGGATAGAATTGCCAATTGACCTTTGTGATATAATCGGCGCAAGAAACGTTCTTAAAAACGAGATAAAAGTTGGTCTTCCTAAACCTTCGTTCGAAGTATTTTTCGAAGAAGAATCTTTAATAAATTGGTTTAGTTCTTTTTCGTTCTCTTTAGTTCCTTTATTGCATATTATTATATTGCTCCTTTAAATTGCTAGAAGCGACGGCGGCAGTAACAAATACTTCGTACATCAAAGTTTGTAAATGTCATGAAATGTACATTTAGCCACTTTTCTTAATTATCCATTTTTCACACAGGAGATTTGCGATTAATTGGGCCAACCGCCGGACCTCAATTATATCATAAAGCTATTGCTTTTCTAAGATGCGACAGTCCTTAATGAGATTTTTTTGGCCCTTTTACACTAAGTACAAAAATATAAAATAAAAAAGTTGCAAAATTTATGCAAGAAATAATAATTAATAAACACAATTTGTATCATATTAACAGTTGAATATAAATAAAGGAGAGAGGTTGACATGAAAGAAAAGTGAAAGAGAGAAGAAAAAGAGAATAGGAACAAGGTCATGTTAGTCTGATGAAATATCGGATTGCTTGCAAAAAAGGTGGAAACTTCACGCCTGAAAGCATGAAAGAAAGAAAGAAGAAAAAGTGCTATGTAAAGTACACAACCTGTAGGGCCTCAAAAGCGACGAAAGCATCATTTGACCTTCAATGTCGGCCATTTTACAAAGTTATGCGTCAAAATATAACGCGACAAGAAGCATTTTTAATGATTTCTGAAAAATAAATCCAAAAGGAACTAACATCCTTGTAATAATTAATATAGGAAAGAAAACGAACTCAAATAAGTAAAAATAAGAAAATAATAATAAGCGAAACGTGTACTCTAAAATTCAAATGACAATAACAGCTGACAGTTTCCACGCAACTTATCAATATTAGTGTAGTTAGCAAATTATTTTTATTTACAAAAATGAATGCCTGATTGTTTGATTAAACCTATTATAAAATGTATAATATCTTTTTGGGAAAATTAAAAGTTTTAAGTTATGCCATTTTTTGAAGCTAGGCCAGGTACCGATTTTTGTTTTTAGAACCGGTGATATTATTGGCAGTGGTTGCTGTTTTTCATAATTGCTAATAGTTTTTAATGCTAGCCTTAAACGCATTTCACTTGTTTTACTCTTGAGTAAAGTGGATTAAGTATCGGTAACGTTTAAAGGAAGAAATGTCGAAGTCAAAAGGGAACCGCAAGTCCAAGTCGATGATCAACGAAGTGGCGACACGTGAGTACACAATAAATCTTCACAAGAGGCTTTTCGGCATTGGATTCAAAAAGAGAGCGCCGAGGGCCATCAAAGCTATCCGAGAGTTCGCCAAAAAGCATATGGGCACTCCGGATGTCCGCATAGACACCCATTTGAACAAAGAAGTATGGAGGAAAGGCGTTCGAAACGTGCCGTACAGACTGCGAGTGAGGCTCGCCAGGAGGAGGAACGACGACGAAGACTCGCCGAACAAGTTGTACACTTTGGTCACCTACGTCCCAGTCGCTTCTTTTAAAAATTTGCAAACGAAGAATGTCGACGTCAATCAAGAATGAGTTATAATTAATACTCTGAATTGATTTTTTACTTGTACTATGTTATAAGAAATATAGTGTTTCTGACTAACGTGTACGTTTACTTTTATGGATAAAATCCCTATCCTTTAGATTGTAATATTATACAATCTAGATTATTATATGAACTATGTTCAAAATAGCCTAAGGCATTTTATCAGATTCCAAAGATTGGTTAAGGTGTAGTGTATCCTTCTGGGTTGGCTTTTCATCTCAAAGCAGTAGGATCAGCCTGCTTAGCCCTCAGCATCGACAGACATGTTTTGCTGTTTCATCTTCTTCTTCCTGGTAATATCTGCATAGGCTTGTTTCTGCTGCTTTGAGTCTACATATGTCTCCATAGTCTGCTGACCTAACACATAGGTTTAGTATGTTTGCTTTTAGTTTCTGTGTTGGTCCTTTAATGACAATAATGATTGTTACTCTTGGAGAAGTACAAAAGGTAAATAAAGGTGCTGATGAACCGGATGAAATGTTTAGTAAAATATTATAAACTTGTTATTGCTCCTATTTTAGTTTCTTTTTTTTTTTTAGTACATCCCTATCTACTGAAATTTTCCCTTACATATTTAAAGGTAGTTATATAATTTATAAGGAACATTTGTAATTATAGACCAATTTATATACAATCTGCTTTAGCCAATGTTTTTGAAATTATTATTAAATTCCTTACATACAATTTTTAGAAAAGTTATCACGCCAAATCAAAAGGTTTTCACTCATGAAGTTCTACATTTGCTAACTTACCAATATTTCAGAGTTTTTTTTTTTATGCACGACTACTGATGAGTATTCTACTAGAAACAACCTTATTATATTAGCTTGCTTCTTGTTGAAGGTTAAATGCTTAAAGTAAAATTAAGATCAGTAACTTCATGTAATTGTGTACCAACTTCTCGAGGAACTAACTCAAGAGACACACTGCTTAAAACTTTAACACTCCTTAGAAAAACCCAATAAATGGTGATAACAAATTTCATTTAAATAAAAAATTTAAAAAAAATGCTGGTATAACTTTCTGTAAAATAAAACTTGTCAAAGTTATCTGCCTGCACTATATGCTAGACTTGTTCCTATCTAGACCTTAAAGAACTAGATGTTACAGAGCGACCATGAACTGGGCATACACCACACCTTCACCTGCCTTAGACCCTTCTGTGAAGATGTAGTGAAATGGGCATATATCGATTTAAGTTCCAAGAACTAGCTTGGAAACGGTATGGTGGATTAGAGATCGCCCCTTAAGAGTACAGCCATGAGGATCCAGGGCAAAGTCGGCTGGTTACCCAGCTCGAGTACTATTCCCAATGCCATCCCTACTCTCTCTATTCGTCAAAGCATATGGATTTTACAATATATATAATTTGCATGTGTAAATGTGCATAAATTTAACAGTGCACATAAATCTTTTTGAACCACATTGTATTTTTTGAAATTATGAAAGCAATAATTGTTGGCAAGTCTGGTAGTTTTAATGCCTTATAAAATACAAACGTGCTTCATCATTCATTATGTAATTAGCCGCAATTAATAAAAAATTAACAATAGTGTTATTCTAAGAAATAAATTACAGGTTCTGAAAGGACTCTGAAGACCCCATGAAGAAATCCCAGAAGTTAATAGACTTCATATATGGGAATGAATGTATGATATGGATGGAAAGAAGCAACAAAGCAAACAATAAGAAACAATCTAACTATTTCATCAATTCTTCTGTTCAGTTCATTTAGTAATTGTACTATATGCTTTATTTATATAGTTAAAATGTCAAGACAATATTTCAAAATATATCACTCTGATTAGATTTATTCATGAAATTATTTTAGGAGTAATAAAAATAAAAAATAAAATTAAAAAACTGTTGGGATTTGGAATGAAAATAAGCACGAGACACACAAATAACACTGTATTGAATCGCACTAACTTACAGGACTAACTAATAACAGAGGTTACAAAAAGTTTAAAATAATTTACATTTCTAACACCTCCCCTTAAATTGTCTTGACAATTAAGTACAAGTCAGGATAATACTTAAACTAATCCCAACATTTTAACAAAATGAACATGTTTCTCTCTATTTAGAGGCTTGGTCAGAATATCAGAAAGCATTTGTTCTGTTGGTAAATAATTTACCTTAATTAATTTGCCTTGGACACTTTCCCTTATAAAATGGTATCTCATGTCAATGAGTTTTGATCTTTGACTGGTTACATTATTTTGGGCTAAATGTATTGCACCCATATTATCACAAAAGACAGTGGTAGGCATAGTCTCATTTGCTAGTTCTTAAAATAAGACACTAAGCCACATGGCTTCCTGAACTGTACAACTAAGAGCCACATATTCAGCTTCTACAGTACTTAATGCTCCTGTTCTTTGTTTTTTACTACCCCATGAGATTAAGCCTCCCATAAATTTGAAACTACTTCCACTGACAGGGTGTCTATCATTACACATAATGATTTGTTGCCCCAATCGGCATCACTAAAACATAACAAGTTACAATTTTCATTTTTACTAAATTTTAACTTTAGATCACTTGTTCCCTTGAGGTATCGAAGTACTCTCTTAACTGCATGCCAATGACACTTGAGTGGATTATTGAATTGACTTAAACTATTGACAACGAAAGCAATGTCTGGTCTAGAATTTTGTGAAACATATAAAAGGCTTCCAATAGCTTGCTGGTAGGGCACTTAGCACTGTTAACATCACTTTTCAGGAGTTCTCATAGGATGATACCTGGTTCCATTGGTGTCGACTCGGGGTTAGCATCTGACATACCAAATTTTTCAATTATCTTCTTGATATATGTAGTCTGATTAATCCACAACTTCCCCTGTTTTCTATCCGAGTAATATTCATACGAAGGCTGTCTTTAACTTCACCCAAATTCATCATAAAGAATTCATTTTCCAATTTTTGAGTTGCATTGATTCGAAAAGATTAAGAAGATATATAGCAATTATAATCATACCATTGGGAATGACATTGAAATAATCCAGTCATCAGTATCCCAATCCAGTCATCACAGAGTGAAGTCATTGGTTCCAACAACTGCCACTCTGTTTAAGGCCATACATTGCTCTTTTCAGGAGCCACACTTTTCTTTTTGGTTTATTCTTCATTTCCTCTGGTGGAATAACATATATCTCTTTATCTATTTGTCCTTGCAGGTACTCGGTTTTGATATTCATGTGGGTACTATTCATGTCTTTCTTTGTTGCTAGAGCGAAGAGAAATCTCAGTGAGGAATACTTTACTACAGGAGAAAATGTCTCTTTGTAGTAAATCCCCTGTCTTTGGCTGCATCCTTTCACCACGAGCCTTGCCTTGTACTTTGCTTTTTCTGTGGTTGATTTTTTTAACTTTAACACCCACTTTGTCTTTAACGCAGTTTTGCCCTTTGGGAAATAAGCCCATTCGAACGTATCATAATCGACAAATGAATTTAGCTCTTCTGACATCGCTGCCTCCCATTTGGATGCTTGTGGGCTCTGCCTGGCTTCCATCACCGTTGAAGAGTCGTCGTTTTCTTAAAGGAATACACAAAATCTGGATACAATTTAGGCTTTGGGGTTCTTTCCATCTGTCGCACTTGTTCCTGGTTGCTCTCCAATTCTTCCTTTTGTTCCTGGTTATAGTTTTCAATTCCGTGAAATTCTTCATTTTCATTATTGTGGCTTATTTCCTGCTCGTCATCATTGATAATCTCTTCCTCATGGTTATTGCAAATGTTCGGAGAATTATAAATGTCATTGATATTCTGCGGAACACTGTTATTTACCATTTTGTCTTCCAGAAATGTTACAACTCTACTAATAGTTACGTTTTTTGTCACAGGATCTATTAGTCTAGCCTTTAGTATTTTGGCACTAGCTGACAAAAATCACTTTTTCTGAGTGAATTCCTTCTTCTTTCCTTTGGAACTTGTACCATGGCCTCACACCCAAATATTTTCAAAAACTTAAGTTAGGCTTTCTTGAGTACCATGCCTCATATGGTGTCTTATTTGTCAAAGACTTTGTAGAACTTCTGTTATTTAAATAAACTGGAGTTGCGACTGCTTCAGCCCTATATGCTTTGGGCAGGCCAACATCTTGAAGCAAGCACCTTGCCTTATCAACTATTACTCTATTCACCCTCTCTGCCATACCATTTTCCTGTGGAGTGTATCTTACAGTCCTTTGGTGTTTAATTCCCATTTCTCGAAGAAACTTTTCCATGTTTTGGTTAATGTACTCCATTCCATTATCCATAATGTTGTAATATGAAGATTCATCTCATTCTCTACCAGTGCACAGTATTCTTTAAAAACTTGTGTAACTTCATCTTTGCTTTTCAAAAAATATACCATTGTGTATCTTGACTAATCATCAATAAGGATAAAAAAGTATCTGTTGCCTCCTATGGATTTGGTCCCATTGGGCTGCATAGGTCGGTATGCACTAACTCTAAGGGTTTCTGTGCTCTAAATTTAATTCTTTTGAATGGTAATCTGACATGCTTCCCTTTGATACATACCTCACACGGATCATCTCGTACCGTGAGTTTATCAACACCATGGGTCATTCTTGTAACATAAACATACTCTTTCTGTTTAAGTGTCCTAGACGTCTATGCCATAAGTTGTCTTTTGTTGAGACAACCTAAGCTCATAGATTAGTTGGGATATCTAGCTTGTAGCCTCCTGTACTGACGTGGCTATAAGATCATTTTTATTGTACATTTTTCCTCCGCTTTCATCAAATATAACTTTAGGGCGCTGACACATGGAGCGGTTTTGCTAGGTTGTGACACATGCAGCGGTATGATGTGCGTTTTGGCCGAAGCGGTTTTGTTTTCTCTCAGTTATTAAATGTATCCAACAGAAGTGCATATAAGCATTGAACGCCGCAAGGTGTTATTTTGCAGTTTGTATAACAAGTCCTGTTTAATAAATATATTGTTCTGTAACTGTATGTAACTTCGTGTATTAGTTACAGCCTTACAGACCATTCCCCCAAGGAATACTTTTTTTTTCTTTGATGAACATTCCATGGAACTGTCTACAAAGTGAAATCTCACAGTTATCAACACACTACGTCTCGTTCGGTTTTCTTTTCTCTATGAAGTTTTGAAAAATAGTTTTAAAAATAAATATTTAAGTTGATCTATATTTAGATGGGATCTCGAGTANAACGCTTCGGTCAAAACCGCTCCGTGTGTCATCGCCCTTATAGCCTTTATAGCGGTCCGGTGGAAACAATGAAGCTAAGCGCTCCTCGCAGGGAGTGTGTAAAAGGAAAAATAAAACTCGGCCCTTCCGTCTCAACCCCCGAATGATTTTGTTTTGAGCCGACGGCTAAAATTCAGAAAAATGGAACATGTTTTAGCCGCACAGAATTAATGTAGGTATTTTTGAATAAAGAAAGAAACAATTGTAAAACGTAAAACGAGATGCAGTCCGAATGTCTTTTCCATGAAACTGATTAAATGTTGGTTTTCTTTCTTCTTCATATCTAAGTTGATATCGCCAGATAGAATAATTGGGATTTCTCCGTAGCCTCTTTCTTCAATAAATTCAAACATTTCTGATGCTTTTGGTGCGTACACTAATAAGTTAGCTAAGAAGAAAAATTCAATGTCTTTTACGTTGCTGTTGGGTGAAACATAGAATGTGACAATCAATGTTCGTTGTCCGTTTATCGTGCTTTCAACAGCGCAAATATCCCCACATTCTTCACTTACTGCCATACTTCTTCACATTTGAACTGAGTAACACATCGATAGCCTCTCAGCGCAACCTCATCATCATTATTCAGCCAGGTCTCGGTTAACGCCAAAATCTTAGTTTCTGGCAAGATAAAATCGGTGATTAAATCTTCTTTGTGCGCCATCAATCTCTGGACGTTTAGAGTAAGTAATGATAGATCATCGGGGCGGCCTGCACGGTTTAGAAGGTCTCTACACTCGTCGCTAATTGTGTGAAGGCGATGATTTACCAAACGATCAAACTCGGTTTTCAAATCGATATTCACTCTACCGCGAGCATAAAAACTTGTAAAACTTGTGATCCTTATTCTTATTTGTGAGGAATAACCCGTCGAGAGACGTAGCTCGTGACAATGCGACATAAACGAGCTGTCGATCGTAGCTTTTATCGTAGTCGTACACAACTGTGTCGTAGTCCCGCCTTGTCATTTGTGTATCGTCAATGCGCATGCTTCAAACGTCATTTCCGTAACGCTTTTTTGACGTGCAACGTCTTAAAAAAAAAGTATGACTCATTGTCCCGTTACGATCGGTGTCCTGTTACGCTCGAGCCGAGAGTAACCGATTAAAGCTGAGCGTGCTTAGAGGCATTAGGATACGTTGTCACGAATTTAATGTCCGAGCACCTTGCGCCCAGACCCCCGAGTTTTTTTTTCGTAACGTTTTTTCCGGACGTTTTTAGCCGGGGGATGATGGCTAAAACATGTTCCATGTTAAAAGACCTTCCCTGAGAAAGGGTAGTCATTTCAGTCTCACTCAGTGTAGTACAGTTGTTTTTCCTGTTTGGTTGAGTATTAAGAAGCTCGTCTACACTCCAAGGTACCAATGTTGCAACATCCAAGTTATGGTACCGTCTTCCAGAATCCACAGCATCTGAGTCAGCAAACTTCACTTCCATATAAATAGGGCTCAGGCGCTAGGGCCGACAGTCTTCCGTTAGTCTTCTATTAAGTCTTACTCTTAGTCTTATGCTAGACGCAGTGTTATGCTAGTTGTTGGCCGGTATACTTGTTGTATAAAATTGTATTCGTTATTATAAATAAAGTTTTTTTTTTGACTTTTATTATAACGGATTACATAACTTGGATTAAGTCATCTCGGAGTAAGAGGCACACGTAAACTCACAGCACAAAAGTTCTTCTGGCCAAGTATGAATTGTGACATAGTCAAATGGAGTAGAGATTGTGTAGATTGTCAACGCGCAAATGTACACCGCCATATTCATGCACCCCTTAATACTTTCCACACAGTGAATAAGTTCGAGCACATCCATATTGACTCCGTTGGTCCGTTGCCCCCTTCCGAGAGTATGCGCTATTGCCTCACGAAAATTGATCGTTTCACAAGATGGCCAGAGGCATGCCTATTACCTGATATTACAGCAGAAACAGTTGCCAAGGCATTACTTTCTGCCTGGATTGCGAAATTTGGTATAAATTACTACCGATCAAGGAAGGCAATTTGAGACCGAGCTATTTGGGCATTTTGCATAGATCCTTGGATTCAAACAGTGCCGCACCACAGCTTACCACCCCCAGGAAAACTGAGCAGTTGAACGCTGGCATCGTACTTTAAAGCAGCACTTATGGCTCACCTATCGTCATCATCTCGTTGGTATCAGAAATTGCCTGTAGTTCTGCTAGGTTTGAGAGCTGCCATTAGGGCTGATACAAACAGTAGTGCAGCTGACATGGTGTACGGACAGCCATTACGATTACCAGGAGAGATGTTTTCCCCATCAACATTTCTAGAAAACGCGGAAGAATTGGTGGCAAATCTCAGCAAAAAGATGTCTGAACTACGTCGAGAACGCTGTCGCTCTCTAGGGTGCTCTTTTAGGGCGAAGGATGATGAGTCAGGTTGCCCGTGACTTGACGGGTGAAAACCCTCTTACCACTTTCTACTAACTACTAGTCTACTATCTAAGTCCTTAGGGATAGGGTTGGAAGAAGATAGAACTAATAGGGTATTCAGTACCCTGTATTCTGTCAGAACAATTTCCAGATAAATATAAATTAACGACAACTCTCTTACTACACTATTATGCAATTAGTAAACAAAACTTATAAACTGAATTTCTATATTCAAAACAACGCTCTTATTCCCATTAGCAAATCCTTATTACTAGGTGCTTAATTATTGTAGTCGTATTATTTTAGATTAGGCCACAGACCGAAATCGCCTCCCCCCCGTTCACAAATCTCCCGACAACTGATTAACAAATCTTGCACTTACAGAACTGGATGTATGCATCGATCTGGTCTGTTAGGTGGACAGATTCTACGAACTATGCTGACTTCGTTCACCTTTCTGACTCGGACTGCCTCACTCACTCGTCGTCCTCTCTGACGGCCCACTAGTCTCCTGCCCTCAGACTGCTCTTTAGACTTTTCTCTCGACGTCTCCCTCGACTTCCCTATCGACTGCTCTTCGGCCAATTCCTGGCCGGCTTCGTCCCCTCCTCGTTTCCTGGCCGACTTCGGCTCCTCGTCGTCTCCTCGTCGTCTCCTCGTTTCCTGGCCGACTTCGGCTTCTCGTCATCTCCTCGTCGTCTCCTGGCCGACTTTGGCTCCTCGACGCGAACTTCTCGCCATTGTCTTCCTGACGACTCTTGGCCTACTCCGGGCCCAACTCTTGGCCGACTTCGGCTTCTTTGGGCGAATTTTCGCCGTCGTCTTCATGACGACTCTTTGCCTCCTCCGTGCGCACGTCTCGCCGGATCCTGGCCGGCTCCTCTTCTACTCGGCTCTTCCTGGTGAACTTCTTGCCGAATTCTGGTCGTCTCCTCGACGACTCTCGGCCAACGTCGGACCAATTCCTGATCCTATCCGTGCCCGCTCCTCTTTGACTTCGGCTCCTCCTCGGTTATTCCTACGGCCCGCAGGGACCGCCCCGACCGAGGCTCTACGCTGACCGCCTCTCTTTTCAACTCCTCGTCGCCTCCACGGGACTCTCTGACTGACTCAACTCAACTGCACTGACTGGACTCTCTGTCTAACTCTACTGGCCTCTCTGACTGACTCACTGCGGACTTTCCGATTGTCTTTTTATCAATCAATCCGGAGAGGAGGTGGGGAACAGTTACGCTTAGGAAATGCTATGCTTCCTGGTTACCCGACTGCCCTTGTTATCCCCAAGTCATTAGGCTATTCCGGATGAGTCCGGGCATTAGCTAATCCTGGGGGTTGAGCAATAAGGCCACTTGTCAGCATAACAGTAAATTTTTCTAGGGCGATTGCCCAGGGTCGACCCACATTTCTCAATCGAAAACATCCAGCTGCTACCATTTCGCCAGCTTTGTTTAGCTGCGTCTGGAGTTTTCGAAAAAGACGGGGTCGGCTCCCGAAATTCCAGGCCACTTACGATTGCCCAATCTTACGCAATACGCTTTCCCAACAATTAGCCGAAATATTCCTACTGTCAGTCTTAATGTTTACTATTAATTTAATTTATAGATAAACCTGTTTAAGATTCCTTTTGGGAATCTTCACACAGAGGTGATAAAAAGGTTACATTGCTAACTAAAACAAATCATGAAAAAATGCATATAATTTGTTGATAATGTTATTCTCATTTAGAAAAAAAAGAAATCCTTCATGGGGTCAGTGGGCATTTCAAGGCAGGAGAGTTTTCTGCTATAATGGGCCCCTCTGGCTCTGGGAAATCAACATTATTAGATATAATTGCTGGATACAGGTAATTAGTAAAAAGTACAGTTTGTATATTATAATTTATATAAATGGTTAAATTTAGAAAACATGGCTACACTGGCCAAGTGATGATAAATGAGTGTGAGATTAAAGTTAGTTCAGAAAATTCCTGTTACATAATGCAGGAGGACAACCTTCACCCTCTTCTGTCCGTCAGAGAGATTATGAATTTATCAGCCAATTTAAAACTTGGACATCCTTACACAAAAAAATTAAAAAACATAAGGGTAACATGATATTATTTCAGTTATACTAAATTGTAATTTGTTTAATGAATCAAATATATACCTATTGATTTTTAGGTTTGTAAAATTTTAGATGCACTTGGTCTTGTGGGATCAGTGAATACAATGACTGGGAAATTATCAGGAGGCCAAAGAAAGCGACTTGCTATTGCTTTAGAATTGCTAGATAACCCTCCAATTCTTTATTTTGATGAACCCACCAGGTATGAGTTTAAAAATATTGAAATATATTTCCTGGTAAAAATTTCCCATAAAATTTTCAGCGGCTTAGACAGTAGTTCGACAAAGCAGTGTATATCACTGTTAAAAAAGCTTGCCAGGGATGGAAGGATTGTTGTATGCACCCTACACCAACCTTCTGCGGTAATTTTTGAAATGGTGGATTACCTTTACTGTCTAGCTGGTGGTTGGTGCTGTTATTCAGGGAGCCCTTCAATTATGACAAATTTCCTTTCACTTACAGGACTTCATTGTCCAGCATATCATAATCCTGCAGATTTTTGTAAACTTTTTGTTCTGCCATTTAGTTAATAACTGGATTTCAACTAAAGTTTTATTTTTATAGTGATGGAAGTCATTGGAGGTGAATATGGAAATCATGGTGAATTTTTGACTGAATGCTCAAAAAATGGGAAGAGCTATGCATGGAGAAAAACATTAATAGACACATCTTCAGTGTACTATTCTAGTTAGAATTGATTGAAATTTACTATCATCTGACTTTACTCAGAATTCATATAAAGTTAATTCTTTGCTTTTTTAGGTCAAGAAAGTGAATGTAAAAATTTTTCTTTATCTCCAATTTTTGTTTCTAACTCTAAAAAAGATATGATAGTGGCAAAACATGAGAAATCAAGAAAGTTTAATGCACCATTTTGTGATCAAGTTTTACTTTTGGTTCATAGAATATTTTTAACTTTAATGAGAGACAAGGTAGAATTATGTTACATTAAAATTAAATTCTTTCACTAATTATTATTATATATTTTTTTTAGTTTCATATATTGTGCAGATTGCTGACACACCTGTTTATTGGGGTTTTAATTGGAATCTTTTATTTTAATATAGGCAATGATGCAGGAAGGGTTTTTAATAATTTTAGCCTGCTGTTTTTTAGTGCTATTTTTTTGGCATTTGCTGCTCTTCAGTCAATGATAATATCATGTGTGTGATAAAAATTAATGGTTTGTATAACTACGTGTTAAACTTATTTGCATATTATAGTCCCACAAGAAGTTCCTATAATCAGGAGAGAGCATTTTAATAGTTGGTATTCTGTAAAAGCATATTATTTAGCTAATACACTAGCAGACTTTCCCATTCAGGTAATTTTTCTGTGTGTTAAAAATGCAAAACATATGCACATTGGATTGATTATTGTTTTAAGGTTAGCTCTGCAATGGTTTATTGCACAATTGTTTATTGGATGTCTGCACAACCTGGAGAATGGTATAGGTTCTTCTTATTTTTGTTCATGTGTACAATGGTGTCTCTGTTAGCACAAAGCATCGGATATCTACTTGGCTCATCGATGAGAGTGATAGTAAATATTTACTTAATAAATTAAATTCTATCTTTAAATTTATATTTAAGTGATACCAACTTACATATATTTTTTAAAAACTTCTAATTTCACAAGTACCAAATAGCTATTTGCTTCTTAAAAGTGTCGTAATACATGATGTAACATTTTTTTATTTTCATATAATATATATTTATCATATAATATGCTGTTTTTTAGTTAATTGTCAACATGACCTAACTTTATTTGTCATGATTTATGAATTAAATATAAACAACTGTATGTATTGTGTTATCTAGTAATTGATTTTTTAATTTATTTTTCAGAATGGTGTTGTTTTTGGGCCTTTGTCAATTATGCCAGCAGTAATGATGTCTGGATACTTCATACAAATGAGGGACTCACCAATGTGGTCAAGGCCATTTTTTAAATTATCTTATATTAGGCATTGCCTTGAAGGTCTGGTTGTTGCGATATATGGCTATTCGAGAACTAATTTGCCCTGTGTCTCTGAAGACTATTGTCATTACGTTACGCCAAAAAAATTTCTCAAAGAATTGGATATGACTGAAGATTATATGACAAACTCATTGATGATTGTGTTTATGTTCGTGGTTGTAAAAATCATAACTTATTTTGTTCTACTGTACCAAATAAGGAACAAAAGATAATATTAATTATGAATAGTCGACAATTTTTCAATTAATTCTTATTATGTAGCTTTATTCATTTATATTTATTTGGTAATTAATTTTTTTGTACTTTTGAATGTCTTTTTCTTTAAAGAATTTGTTTAACCTTCAATTAGAGTTCACAAATTTTTAAATGATTTTTTTCATGAACTGGAAAAAAGTGAAACAAAAACATTTTTAAAGCCTAAGAATAAATCTAGAATCCATTAATTTTTAATTCTTTCCCAAAAGACATGCTTTGTATATCGCAAAAATCGCGGAACACAGAGTTGATTAATTTATAATTTATATGTAATACTTGGTCATAAATATTGTGAAATTTTAATATACAAGTACAAACATCAATATTTTAGCACTGTTACAATTTTTTTAAATGTACACTACATGTCAATTAAATTCATTTGAATTTACCAAAATCTTTATTTAACAATAAAACAAACCTTGATGTATTAATTCTAACAGTTAATCATGCTATAGCAAAAAAAACCATATTTTTTCCTACAGCTGTTGACTTACCAACCCAACGTAGCCAAGGAAAAAGGTAACATATATCGCATAACTCTTCATGGTATGTTTAAATAAATTTTAAATATAAGTAATATGATTCACAGTGTTACATTTTAAAAATCAATGAAAATAATATATATAATATATATATATATATATATAGTATAAGATATACCTATATTCATATTTGCTTATGTACCTCTATTCCTATGTAACTATTTACTTATACACTTATATATATATATATATACCTATATACCTATACACCTATATATACCTACAGACCTATATACCTATATATCTTTATACTTATATACCTATATAACTCTATCACTATATCCCTATATACCTATATGCCTATATCCCTATATACCTATATGCCTATATACCTATATGCCTATACACCTATATGCCTATAAACCTATATGCCCATATACCTATAAGCCTAAATACATATATAGCTATATAACTGTATACCTATATAGCTATACAACTGTATACGTATGTACCTATGTACGGCTATACCTATATACCTATGTACCTATGTACCTATATACCTATATACCTATGTACCGATATACCTATATACATATTTGCTTATGTTCCTCTATACCTATGTACCTATTTACCTATATACCTATATACCAACGTACCTATATACCTTTATACCTATATACCTATATACATATATACAGATACACCTATATAGCTATATACCTGTATCCCTATATTCCTATATACATGTATACCTATATGCATATATAACTATATAACTATATACCTATATGCTTATATGCCTATATACCTACATATATATACCTATATACTAATAACCAATATTCCTATGTATTTCCACAAGTATATATCTAAATATGTACAACGAAATATCAAGTCTAACTAAACGTTTGAAAAGTATCTTTTTTTCGATTTCGCCAAATTGAAGCCTCGGTTGAGTCGAGAGTTGCGAGGTAGTCTTGGGCCTATTACAAATTCAAATTAATTTCGTGTATCAATGGGCTTAAAATTAGGTCAAAATATCCACAAAAACATTACAAAACTAACTCGCTGACTCAATGACTCAAAAACTCACTCAATGACTTAATTGAGTCTCTGACTCAATCACTAATATCAAAAGTCTAAAAAAACATTTGAAAAGTATTTTATTATCGATTTATCCAAATTGAAGCCTCGGTTGCGGGTTAGCTACTTTGGCCTGTTGCTACTTCAAATAGATTCCCTGTATCAATCTTCATAAAATTTGGTCAAAATATCTACAAACCATTTATGAAACTAAGGAAATATCAAAAGTCTAAAACAACATTTGAAAAGTATTTTTTTTTTCGATTTATCCAAATTAAATCTCGGTTGCGAGTTAGCGACTTTGGCCTGTTGCCACTTCAAATTGATTCCCTGTATCAATCTTCATAAAATTTGGGCAAAATATCCACAAACAATTTATGACACGAAGGAAATATCAAAAGTCTAAAAAAACATTTGAAAAGTATATTTTTTTTCGATTTATCCAAATTGAAACCTCGGTTGCGAGTTAGCGACTTTGGCATGTTGCTACTTCAAATTGATTCAGTGTATCAATCATCATAAAATTTGGTCAAAATATCCAAAAACAATTTATGAAACTAAGGAAATATCAACAGTATAGAAAAACATTTGAAAAGTATATTTTTTTTCGATTTATCCTAATTGAAGCTTCTGTTGGGAGTTAGCGACTTTGGCCTATTGCTACTTCAAATTGATTCCCTGTATCAATCTTCATAAAATTTGGTCAAAATATCAACAAACAATTTATGAAACTAAGGAAATATCAAAAGTCTAAAAAAACATTTGAAAAGTTTTTTTTTTTTTTATCCAAATTGAAGCCTCGGTTGCGAGATAGCGACTTTGGCCTGTTGCTACATCAAATTGATTCCCTGTATCAATCTTCATAAAATTTGGTCAAAATATCCACAAACAATTTATGAAAGTAAGGAAATATCTTCGTTCAGTTGGGCTGCTCTTTTTCAGAATTTCTGTATTTCTGTTTTCTATAGAAAGTCGACTAGAACTCTTGATATTTTCACCAATGGAAGAATAAGTGATTGGACTCATATGATATCCCACAACGTTATGATGTATCAGTTGTCTCTTTCCGTATTTCCTGTACAGGTTGTTCATTTTTTGTTTAAATTATAGACGCAACAATTAAGAAAATAAGTTGAATCACTTTCTTAAACAGATAAATCGTTGTCAAAGAAACTAGAAGAAATAAAACCAATAAATACTTTTAATGTCACATGGCAAAAAAATAAATCAATATATAAATAAAAATTTGATCAAGTGAAAGTATATCTTTTTAACTGTACTTATTTTATTTCAATGTAGATTAGATTGAAAATGAGTCAACCTATTTACAGCCTGTGCAATGCGACTACTACAGCTTTTTCAGGTGTATCTTAGCCTACATAAGCCTTCACAGCAACAGAAGAAATGTTCCGCTGATTCCTCTTCTTTCTGGCAATATCTGCATAGTCTTGTTTCTACCAATCCACATCTATACATATATTACCGGAGTCTTGGTGCTTGTTTTGGCGATATTTTTAAGTGTAATGTTAGTAAGTAGTTAAGAGGTGGCTGGTATAGAGGAATAATTTTTCTCCAATTCTGAACACCCTCAGCTGTATTGTCTGTCCAGTAAACCATCGATTCACCTCACTTGTTTTATTAGTTTTTCGTATACTTAAAGAATGTTTTTTGTGCTTTCAAGTCATGGACAAACTAGCCATCACTAAAATTAAATAGATCACTCATAATCAAAAGTGTGCGATTTTTCTCATGGCAAAGTGATGAATACTATTACCGAGCAAGACTCTTGGTGGTTTGAGGTTGGTTAATTTGCTATTATCCTATGGATTCTCAGATTTTCAATAGGAGAAGTATTTTCTATTTGCAACTGTTAGTTGTAGTATTCTATAAAAATAGATTGTATATGTATAACTGTCACATTTCAATTTATTTCATAGGGATATGTTGTGATTTAAATTCCATGATTAGTCCTAGAGGAAAAATAAAAGAGGAATTACAAAGACCTTACAAACAATCAGTAACCATTTCACTTTCCCTTATTTTAAAAAGGCCATTATTGAATTATGTAAATGTTGTAAATTATGCGCAGAATATAAAACAAGTAGTTTTGCAAAATACGGATTTATACAGTCCCAAATAGAAACTCAACCCGTGGAGAAAATCTATATAGACTTTTTCAAATTAACATAAACCATAAATGGAAATTCTTTGTTTATTCGTGGCAGTAGATAGTTTTTCCAAATTTGTTTGGGCCATTGCGACCACAGATCAAAAAAGAGAAACTGTTTTGAAACTTTTACGGGATTATATTTTTGCCCAACATTTTTCATTCCCCTCACTACCGAAACTTTTTGTTCAATTTTGGCATCATGTATGAGTTGAGAACGGCTTATCGGTCGCAGGGAAACACGGCGGAAAGATATGTTGCTAATTTAGCAAATGCTATACGGGTGAACTGCTCGGTTAAATATGATCCTTGGGAATTGGAATGATTATGTAGCCTGGATTACCGCAAATCTAAATAATTGTATCAATGAATCTACCAAAATATCTCCTGTAGAAATAATTTTAGGACGTAATTTAAATACACCTCTGGAAATAAAGTGGGAAGAAGTTGAATCCAATGATGAAAAAGATAAACAAACTAAACGAATTTGGGAATGTGCCATAAAAAATTTGAAAAGGGCACATGAGTGGAATGCATTTTATTACAATAGAAATGGAAAGTTGGGTATATTTACAGACGGTAATTCGGTCATGTTAAAAGCTTATCACATCTGAAAAAAGGCGCAAAATATTAATTTGAAATTAACAAAAGAAATACCAATGACCGTTTTAGTCAAAAACATAATAAATCAGATGTATTTTGTGTTAGAAGATCTAAATTATCCCTAAAAAAGAAGAAAAGCACACATAATACAACTTACAGCATTTAGCCAACCTAGTATAAATTAAGCTTCATTTTAATCCTTAACTGTTTATTGAAAGATACATAAATTAGTCTCTTTAAAGTTTCATTTTGTTTTTAATCTCAATGTCGATATAAAAAATTAATGAATAAAAAGGTTATGCTTATTTTAATACCAGTAGATTATTAAATTTATGAAAAATGAAGTTTAAAGAAAAACAAAAAATCTATTTCGTTTGGATTTATAAAACAAGTACAAAATCACGCCCTTAAAAGTTCATTTCATTTTGATTGTTATTAAAAAATATATATAAAATAACAAAAATAAACTAGAAAACAAACAAGAAAATAACAAAATTTGACAATTCTAAAATTTAATAATAACATCTATAAAACAGGGTTTTTATGTTTAAACCAATGCCAGGTCTGCCCCGCCAAGCTCCAAACACTATCCTTTTGATCAAAACTTACTACTTTGATGAACAGTCAACATACGATTCCAAATCATAGCACGAATTCAGTCCTAACGAACTGTGCTACATTGAGAAATGAAATTGAACTTTATGGTTACATCCTTTGATCAACCAAAAAAGATGCATAGCCTACCTACCAAGGCTATCTCACAGGTCGCAGAAAATGGTTCAAGACATTTATCAAGAATGAAGAAAGAACCTGGCACGGAAATTTGGACTTTTTGAGTTTATGACCAGACCTTAATGGTTTTGGGTGAACAACATTATGAGGTCTCATCTTGTGAAACCCACAGATATACACCGTCTATCCGCACAGTGTTTGAGCATGTACGACTTCAATGGTTTCAGCATTCAGAATGCAGCAAACAGCTAGATTTTGATCAGCGTTAGTTATCCGAATGTGGTCGAATGTTCGGAGGGGAAAAAGTTTGAAAACAAATAGTTTTTTTTGGTTGAGAAATTGTGTCACATTTCAATTTACTTCATAGTTACAATGTTGTGATTTAAACTTCATGATTAGTCCTAGAGGAAAAATAAAAGACGATCTCCCCGATTAGGGTACCCGTGGAGAAAATCTATATAGACCTAGTATAGAGGAATAGTTTTTCTCAAATCCTGAACACCCTCAGCTGTAATGTCTGTCCAACAAGCCATCTTGTACTTCACGTCTTAGACAAACTAGCTATCACTAAAATTTCTTAGACCACTCATAACCAAAAGTGTTCACTTTTCCTCATTGAAAAGAGATTAATAGTATTCTGTGCACCAAGCAACTCTGCTGGTGGTTTGTGGTTCATTTGCTACTATCCTATGGATTCTCAGAGGTTCAATAGGAGAAATATTTTTGACAAATGCACCTTGAGACTCGTGTAAAAGATTATCACATTTTCATTTATTGTACACTGTAGAAAAGATAGGAGTAGAACTTCTGTTTTGAACGGATTATAAATAAAAACACAAATTATACAATTAAAGATGCTGATCTTTACTGTAAACGGTCGAAGAAAACTCTAATAACAAATAACAGCAATGTATGAGAATTGAACACTATGTCATTAGTGATAATACAATAATAAAATACTTAGATAGTTGTCATGTCTGCTGATCATAAAATATATAAGTAATTTACATTATGGCTATAAAAAAAAATCCCTGATTTGCAACTGTTGGTTGTAGTATTCCATAAAAATATATTGTATATATAACTATATTTTCATCACTTCTCACTGTTAATAATGTGACTTGATGCTATGTTACTCTCTCAACAAAAATGTAAAAAGTATAAATATTGTATGGATATATTGTTTTTTTCTTATCATGATGGTTTAAAGCACCATAAAGATTTAGTAAAATGAAAACATTTCCAACAAACTATTTCGTCGACAATGAAGAATGATTCTGTAATTTGTTATTGGCATAAAAGCAAAAGTGGATAAAGAAATTTTTGTGAAAATTTCCAGATCTTTAATTACGATATAACTAAAACAATTGGTATTTGTTTACATATTAAAAAAATAATGATAGAAGTTTAAAATATAAGCACTTTATACAGGTGAGTTTTCACGCAATGATAGAGCCTTTCAGAATTACAGAATCAGCAGTACATTAAGAATTTCTCAAAGATATTTACATAAACATTTTTTTTTAATTTAATTTTTTTTATCAGCACATCAAAATTCTCTTCAGATTTGCCAGGAGTAACTTTGTTTCATAGCAAAATTCTTTGGATAACCAAGCTCTCAACCGTAAACAATATATATATTTATAAAATATTAACTGAAACCACTGTTTAATAAAGTAGAAAATTAAAATTGTTTCTTGGTACTCCTTTAAATTGCAGATCCATAAATATAATTAATCTCTCTCCAACAAGTATATTGATTGTTCCTTAATGTGCTAACAACAACAAAATTACATTGGGAACTAAACTGGTACAAATCTTCAACATAAAATATATTTATGCACACTGCAAATTATATATATATATATATATATATATATATATATATATAAAAGCATTTTCAGTTCAGATATTTTTATCATAAAATGTAAAAAACAAAAATATTTTTTAGTTTTTTTTAGTATTTTTTTTTAATGTGCACAAATAAACTTCATGTTAAAGTAATCAAGGAATTAAGCACCTTAGCTCAATTAAATAAAATATAAATATGTACAAAGCTAATAAACAATTTTACGTGCTTATCAACAATAATTTCTAACACCTTTGAGAGATATTGCCAAAAATCTATACGTCTATACATCTTAAAATGCATTAAGTAGACAATAATTTCCTTTTTTTTCCCCTACTTACAAAAAACAATTTTATAATTGAAAAATTGAAATTTTAACAAAAAAGTAAAAGGAAAAAGAAACGTTCACACTCCAAAAAAGTTGGTTGTGAAGGTCGGCTTGTACAATAAGCCACTAGTAGAAATATATGTACTAGCGCAAATAGAAATATATTACCCGCGTCAAGACAAGACCCGAGAATATGGAATAATAAAAGTCATTTCTGTACAAACGATGAACACATCACTTGACTCATTTAGAGAACATCACAATATCAAGGAACAGAGTCACTTAAATGGCCCTGAAGAGAAATTCTACATATTAATCATATTTCATTTTGAAAATTAATTTGGTGCCAGCACTGCTGAGTGTCCTCCACCAGAGATTCACTGTACTGCTAACTAAGCACATTGGCGTTATTAACATGAACTGACAATCACTTCTTTGATTTAGAGCGAGGTCAGTAAATTACTTCATACACTGTTGCCTTTTTGTCACCAGAACCTGTTACTATGTACTTGTCATCTGCTGATATATCACAGCTCAAAACTGATGAGGATTCTTTGCTCTGGAAAAACAAAAGATAATTTAGTAAATATATGTAAAATTAAATCAATAAAAATTGAGATAAAGTTTGTTCATCCTGATCTTCAGATTCTCATTATACATATTTGCCTGGCAGTTCACACTTGAGATTGGTTATTCATCTCAGACAACAGTAGACTATTGAGTCCAATCTAACGAAACGTACATACATATGGTTGGGTAACTGGGGTGGCTGAGTGGTTAGTGCGTCAGATGTATATTTCCCATGCTAGCTGTTATGGATTTGAATCCCAACACAGACCCCGTGTTGTCTGGGGTCCACACACCCAACAGGTAGTTGGACTTTATACTATAGGCCCTCCTGAATTACAGGGATTATTCTACTACACATTAGTTAGTCTAGTGTAGTTTATTTAACTCCCTATAACTTCCATATTAGGTAAGACAGTACGCATGTTAAAGATTTTTGGTGTGGGAGAGAAGGGTTTAGAAATTCCAGGTTCAATTGTGGAAATTGAACCAACAATAGAGTCTATAAGCTGAGAGTTTAATGCCCTAAAGTCTCGGCTACCGTGGTCCCTTCCAACTTATCAGAGATCGAATTCTAGTGCTGTTTCTGTCTACATTTGTTGGTTTAAAAGTGAAACGTGCTTTGGCTTGATGCCATCTTCAATGAAGAACTGTTGGCAGTTGTCGCTATGGGTGTTGTAATTACAAGAGTGGTCCTGGCATTTGCTAGTTGGGTGTGATATCAACATAAATATTGATATGTTGATATCACGTAACATGTAAACATATACAAATATATTGGAAATGATATGTAAAGTACCAACGGCATGTAAAACATGTTCTGTATAAGCTCACTTCACACAAAACTGAACATCGCCTTGAAATGTTCCACAAAACCATTGATACCCTTGGAGTAGTTTACAAGAATAACATTTTTTTTCTTGTCCTTCTTCATAGTACTACCTCTACAGAGCATCGACCTGCTTTCTTAAGAGAAAATGTTTCATAAATTGGTGATCAATTTTCACTCAAAATCCAAGAACAGAGTAAAAATTTCAGGAAATTGAACAGCTGGCTACTTAATGACCATTAACCGTCAAATACAAGAGATTATCTTTCCACAATTGAAAATAATTTGGTAGAAATATGAAATTAATTTAATTTGATTGTTCAATTTTTTTTACAAAATATGCTGGAATGCTAAGTTTGGAATCTTCAAAACATTTTTTTTTTTTTTAACTAACTAGGGTGTAATGGCCCAGTGGTTAGGGCATCCGACTAACATTTGCCACGTTAGCGGTTCTGGATTCGAATCCCAGTGTAGCCCATGGATTTTTGATTGAGAATAGTACAAAAAAAAATATTGTACAGTGTTTTGTCCCTTTGCCCATGACGCCCAATGGTTAGTTGGATTTCCCTCCTGTATGACAGGAATTACTTTACTTACCATGAATTGTTATGAACAACAAGAATCAATTCAATGTAAATTAGAATGAACAGCAGTACTTGTGGCTTTAATACAAAATAAATCATGGGAAGTTGTAATTTTAGCTAAAGATTCTAAAATCATATTTTATATTCAAAGAAAGTTACCTGGAATATAGATGCTCCATACGGAGTCCTCCAAGCGTTCAGTAAATTGTCTTTTCCAGTAGAAACAAACCACTTGCCACATGCGGCGAACCTCAGTGACAAGACACACGATTCATGAAGATGTAATTGGTACTTGTCTGGTTTGAGGGCGTGCAGGACCTCGACATTTGAATTTTCCATGCCGACAGCTAGCCACTCGCCAGTTGGGCAATAGCCCAGAGAGAATATCTACAAGAAAAAATAAAAAATGAGTTTTAAGTTGAAAAAAATAAGGAAAGAGAAAGCCTGGTCATACCTGAGATGAAAAGTCGTGCTGCTGAAGCTGACGACCTTCCCGTAGGTCCCATGACCTGACAGTGTTGTCAAGCCCGCCGGTCCACAGTTTGGTCCCATCAGCAGAAATATCTATGCAGGAGGCACCGTCGGTATGACCCTGGAACTGCCTCACCAAAGTCTGGTTATGTAGATCCCAAACTGCGATGTTGCCATCTGAACAACAGCTGAAGCAGACCTGAAACAATTTTATTACATCCATTGTAGTTTTATGTAAAGTCCCTTGTTTGTTGACAACTCCAGATTAAACATATAGACAGTTATTATTAGAAGGAACAAAACTGTGGAGGCACTTCATTTTACATTTTGTAACATAATTGACAGCTAATACTATACCTTGCTGTCAGGGCTGATGGCCAGAGCGTAACATGCAGGGGCGCTAGAAGTTAGTTCTGCTTTAATTCTCGGGGTCGGTGAAGCTAAATCCCATATACTGAGATTACTTGCTTCACCACCGACGATTAGTGTCCTTCCATCTGGTAATAGCTTTACAGATCTTATATAATTGTCCCTTTGCTGGAAAAAATAATAAAATAAAGTTTAAACTAAAGTGACAAGAGAGGTGCACTTGAATTGCTTAAATTTGTGTATAACGTACCAGGCAGTCAAGTTGTGAAACAGGGCTCTTAGACCCTGGTTGGCTTATGTCCCAGACTTTAACACACCCTTTACCCCCAGTGTAGACATATTTGGTGGGATTGCTTATTGTGACTGCACATACGACTTCACCATGGCTGAGCGTGTTGATCTGCCTGGCATGCCTGGGGATGCCAGGCCCGATGAGGGCATCAGGTGGGAATGGTACCGGTTGCATCTGACCCTCTGCGCTCACATGAAATGAATAAGCACTGAAAACAATAAAAACAGTTATGAAAATCATAAAATAACAAATAGACAAATTAATTTGGACACTTACGGCTTTCCTCCTGGAATACCCCCAAGTGCAGGTCCTAATGGAGCTCTCATTTGAGAGTGTGGATCATACCCGACCTGGTACAAAAAAAAAAGATTTGACCATAATTTCTAAATAATGTAATTTACAAAAAAAATTGTATAATTTTTAGGTTTTTGATACAATCCTAATATTAAATCTTCAGTGCTTATAAAATCGTTTATAACAGATTCAAAAGAATGAGTTTTATCTTTAGAAATTAATATTTGAGAATAACAATCAAATTTGTAGACATGTTTTGGACACTTTAAATTTTTTAATCCTCCAATACAAAATAACTTTTCAAAAAATAAATAATTTTATAATTTTGTCAATATTCTACTTACCATGGGAGGCCTCGGGTAGCTATTCAATGCAGGTGGTAGATTATTGTGAAGCGCACCATAGCTGGCCGCTGCTTGCAGGTCGTGGGGACCTGCACCTGTCAGATAGTGCGGGTATTGAGCTGGAAATAAATATTCTTTTAATACTTTCAAGAATTATTCTTAATAGAGGAAATTGTGTGTTTGTTGTTATCTCATGGAGTATGAGGAAAACTCCTTACCTAATGGCGGTTTGACTAAAGGCTTCATGGCACCGGATCCGGCTACGCTGCCACTGCTACCTCCACTTGTTGGCGTGACAGACTTGGAAATTGGTGTTGTTGGCTTTTCCTCCATCTTTTTGGTAGAGGGGGTGCTCGCGTTTGACGAAGTCCCACTTCTAGGACTGAAAGAAAAGGATGTGTAAATGCAACTTTAACTGAAATATGTTCAAAACAAAAAATACATCAAAGTCCAGATGCAAGATTATTATTGTTATATATTATTAGCAAATTCACCTTTAGTGACAAAGACCACTGAGAATATGTAGCCCAGGATGATCATGAATGATGAAGCCACAGTTGCAAAATATTGCCAAAATAAGCACAATATTTCTCAATAAATTGAATAGTACAAAAGCATATTGCTTATTTTAAGTGCCAATTTTGTAAATGTATATAAGTACAATTAGATCAGCAAAATGTACAAATGAGATTATGCATGAAAACGGTTTACTTTTTTTTAAATTTTGTATAATTTTTACAGTATAGTATGTAAATATAGTATAAAGAGTAGGAACAATTAACACATACTACTGTACACTTTCTTCCGACTAGTTTCCATTCCAGATTTGAACTTTTTGGCGAGAACAGCTCTTCATGTTTTTCTTGCATTTAATCCTTCACCTAGTAGTTCCTAGGCATAGGCCAACTAGATTGAGGCAAAAATGGAAGAAAAAGGTGTGGTGCTGCTCTCGCCAAATAGTTCAAACCTGAAGACGAATTGTGGCCCAGTTCAAGACAGTTTTTTATAAAATGTGACATCATGTTCATTATAAATAAAATGATTGTATTGTGTAAAAAATTAATAATACATCTAGTATTAACTTCAACAATTAACAATTAATTGTTGTAAGGACAACATTGATAAACTTACCTGTGTGGGCCAACATGTTCTTTTTTGGGAGCAAGTTTGTCTAGTCCATTCTCTCTTGGTGATGTTGTACCATTTGGAGGTGAAACGGGATCCTAAAAATTGAATAGGTGTTTGAGAAACTAGAAAGCCCTAGCTGAAGATATAAACAGATCTGCCCAGTTTCAATGGACAGTCTCAACATTCCTTTTACGCAACATGCATAATAATAACATTTACATGCATATCCACATTGTATTATGCATGTACAAATAAACAGCAAAAAGACAGTGACAGCTTACTAATCAAACTTTCTTTCATTCCTAGACATGTGTAGGAAAGGTGAAAAAAGTGACCAAATGTTCTCCAGGATACACCCGCACAATTGAGACTTGTTTACATTATTATTCTTTTACACTGAAATTCTTTGTTAGTCATGTTAATAATCGCTACATGCAATTGTGAGGACAATTTAACCCAAAACCGTTGACTCTAATTTCGTTAGAAAATTTGTGTTTTATTATACAATATTATTCTTTGTAAAAATTTGTTGCTTACCTCACTGGCATCGTCTACAACTAAGTCTTGGTCACTTTTTTCTCCGTCACTAGCCTGCAAACGTACACAAGCCGATTAGAAGGGTATTAACATCGATATGGGAGTTGTTGATGAAAAATGGTCAACTGATAGAAGGATCTGAGTGAGGATGAGTAAATTTTGCTAGACTGTCTGGCTAAAAACAAAAAATGAAAAAAGCATACATGTATGGGGAAGAGCTGACCTGGCCGATTTTACATCTTAAAAATATTTAAGCTACTTCACCTTATAAATCAAGTAATATAGAGTAAAAATAACTATCATAAAGACGGAAAAATTCATATCTGTTGAACTACACGAAAAATGTCAGTTATACAGGGTGAATTGCTACTCGTGCTACAAACTTCTCCAGTAGATTCTTCACCCTAAAATGAACAAAAAAGTTCATATTGTCCATGGTCCGATTCTCAACCATTTCAGAGTAATTTCGCTTTTTATCGATTTTGAAAGATATCACGTCCTGGCGTCGGAAAATCGTGATATCTTTTAATCTAAACATTTCTCTGAAAATCTAATAGCACCGTTGAAATTCCCGTTAATTTTTCAATAAGAAGATGACGGTGGCAAAATGTTTGGGCTAATTTTTTGTGTTTTATTTCAGCCAGAACTACAAAAAGAGTGGAAAATTGTGTAAATCGGAAAGTGTATAAAGTAATCCAGAGTTTCTAATTTTAGTCTCAGAAGGCAGCAAATTTGAGGAAAACTACCTGATTTAATAACGCTTCCAACGCACTCGTCATTTTCTTATTTAGTGGTTGTGAGACCAAGATGTTGATGACAAAAAGAGAAAAAATGGTGGTTCAAGGATTGCTAATGTTTGAGAGTGACTTGCTACTCGTGCTACAAACTTCACCAGTAGATTCTTGACCCTAAAATGAACAAAAAAGTTCATATTGACCATGGTCCGATTCTCAACCATTTCAGAGTAATTTCGCTTTTTATCGATTTTGAAAGATATCACGTCCTGGCGTCGGAAAATCGTGATATCTTTTAATCTAAACATTTCTCTTAAAATCTATAAGCACCGTTGAAATCCCCGTTAATTTTTCAATAAGAAGATGAAGGTGGCAAAACGTTTGGGTCTTTCTTCCTTGACCTTCTAGCTGTTTGTAAACTTCTTAAGCATTACATACTAAATGGGCATTAAATTAAATTAAAAAATTTCAATGGAATTATGATTTTGATTCTCTCTAAAAATTAACGGGGATTTCAACGGTGCTTATAGATTTTAAGAGAAATGTTTAGATTAAAAGATATCACGATTTTCCGACGCCAGGACGTGATATCTTTCAAAATCGATAAAAAGCGAAATTACTCTGAAATGGTTGAGAATCGGACCATGGACAATATGAACTTTTTTGTTCATTTTAGGGTGAAGAATCTACTGGAGAAGTTTGTAGCACGAGTAGCAATTCACCCTGTATATATGAAAATTTTATATAAATTATTATCATTTAAGAAAAGTATTTCAATAATCTTGAACAACTACTGAATCTATGACACCCCATAGTTTTGTCTTCCATGGGATTAAGATTACTTTAAAATTTAACAAGGGAAATCTTTACTGATTTTGGATTTAAAGTGACATTCAAAGTTAGAAAAAAATTCCCCCCTTTTTGAACAAAGCTTGTCGTAAAGGAATATTGTTACCAGCTTTAAAAATAATAGGCATCCAACAGAAATAGAACAGGGCTTTATGGTTCTTTGCTGCGCAAAAAATAAATAAAATAAAAAAAAATAAAAAAATAAAATTAAAATAAAGTTAAAAAAGGAGAATCGTGCCTTTAAAGAGGTTTCACAGGAAAAAAATCTTCATAAAATCAGGTAACCAAGCAGCTATTAAAAGCATTAGTATGTAAAAACTCATATCAACACTAATCAACAAATGCATCCAAAATCTGGAGAAACACAACAACCTGATAATATCTTGGTTACCAGGATAAAATAAAATTTTGGCCAGAGGAGGATCGGCAAGACCTCATATAGGCCCTGAACCTGTTCTTGGGATGACAAAAACGAACACAGAATCCTCCATCACAGAACGGATCCACAAAAGACAAAAGGGGGCGCTAGACACAGTAAACTTATGCTAAAACAACCTCATCAAGACTGGTGTCAACAACCCACTGTGACAATTAGAGAGGGCCAAACATTTACTGGTCACTGGCATCTGAGAAAACCATTCAACGTGGGTATATTAAATGATAAATCCATTTGTAGATTATGCAATGAGGAGAAAGAAACCACCCAAATCATCTTCTAATGTAAACCAACTGCTCACTGGGGACAAACCTGGGATGCAAAGAAAACGCAGGAAAAGGAATGTAACAATGGCAGTCACTGGCCTATTACTCCACAAAAGAAGGATCGAATCGATAGACTTAACTAAGGAACTAGGAAAGTACAAGCTAGAAAATAGAAGACTGCACTGCTTGTGGAGTATAAACCCCACTTCCTAGTCTCATTTCATCATTACCATCACAAGGAAAATATAAGAAAATTTTATATAAATTATTATAATTAAAAAATATCTGAAATCCTTTTTGGACAAAGCGTTTCATAAAGGAACGTTATCGGTCTTAAAAATATGAGGAGAATGCTAAGAGGCATCAAACGGAAATGGGCCGGGGCTTTTACGGTTCTTCGCAGCCGAAAAACATAAAAAAAAGAAGAGAATCGTGCCGACCGGGCAGTAATAACCGGGGGAGGTACTGGGAAAGAGAAATAAGCGAACCAAGATTACAACATAAATAAGGAAATAATGTAATTGGCGTCATTAAGACCGTTTACAACCTTTGCTTGTGTGTGCCGGGTGCCATGCACGAAGGCATTCACCGATCGCATGACAAAACACTGTTAAAGATTCTATCCAGCCCTCCCCACTGAAAAGACCATAGTATTTACCAAATGGTGCTTTCCCCCCCCCCTCTTCATCACCACACTGAAACAGTACTCGACAAAATTCAACCCCCGGCTTTATTACTTAATACCGCGCGGAGGGCGGAGGGACTATCTCCCCCATTTCACAGATTGCTCCTTGACTCCACAAATTACGCCACCTATGAATTCATTAAAAGGGAACCCTTTTACCCTTTGTCACGCCTCTCGCAAACAGTGCAATTAAAAAGGGTTAATCTGCTTTAGAAATGTCGGCGAAACACGATATTTTTAGTTAAAAAAATTAAAAAGTATGAAGGGTGTATCAGAGGTGATGATCGAATTGAACATTACAGATATACCGAATCATATTTCTTCAAGATTAAAAATTATTTCTATGTGTTTAGATATTGAAATTCTTGCGATTTGGAGATGGCTAATATAATAAAAGTTCATAGTTGATCGATGCTGCTTTAAAACATCTGTCAGTATGATCATCCCTTGGTGTTCGGGTCAGTTTCTAAAATTTCGAGCTAGAAGAACAAACAACGCAATAAAATTTACTTTTTTGACCAAAGAAGGCCATACTTCGTAATGAATTTCAACTACGCTAGACCAAAATATAGCCAAATTTTCAACTTTGTAAAGATAAAAAAGTAATAAGTTTGTACGTTCCGAGAACTTCTACAACATTGTTTGAGTACAATAATAGATATACGGTGCCGGGGCCGAGCGGTTTTTGGTTAAAGAGTTCTCCGGTTTGGATCCTTCTGAAGTGGCCAATAATAGATAACAGAAATGAAATTGATAATGACTATAGATTAATATTTGTTTCTGTTGTTTAAAGAGCCTTTTGTACAACATCCATCAATTGGACTATTGTCCTACTATGGATTATAGCTCACGATCTGGCATGAGGCTTTTAATTAGCTTCCATAGTCTGTTGATGGATATAGCTTTATTTGCCTTTGAGTACCTTTTCTTTATAAAGACAAGTTCACAATATAAAAATTCTGCGGAATCCTTCTCTTCTTGTCAGATCTTGCTTGCATAGCTATCCACTTCTAGCCATAGGATAGGGCTATTGCTGTTAACTGTGTCCAGTTAAGAGGCCTGCAATAGTCAAATTTTTTGCACCTTTGTTACAGCTTGTCTGTTTGCTTAAGATTCACTTGAAACCTTTTGCATGTCTCTGTTTGATAAACGTTTTATTAGCAATTTGGAATTTTATCAGTTCTGGCCAACAGTGACAGTTTCCTTCCTATTTATGGGTGTATGTGTACACAGAGTACTGTTTATGATCATACCTCTCATACCTCAAGTGTGTCCAGTGCAATGGCAGCTCGTCTATCAGAGTAGGTTATCTGCCTTACTGGTTCGTATAATGTCCAGAGACGATAACTGACAGACAACTGAGATAAACTGAGACCTAAAGCTTTGCGGGGACTAGAGACTTTCATACCGCATCCATCAAGTAGGACTACTGATCCCTAGCTATGGCTATAGCCCATCATCTAGCATCAGGCTTTTTATTAAGCTCCTGTTTGTTGGATTTAGCTTTCTTTGTTCGAGAGTACCTTCCCTTTAGCGGGTCATATTAAATATATTCTGCGGGGTCCTACTCTTCTTGATAGAACGCCAAAGCTACATACTGCCACACCCAATATTTTAATATTTCAATTGCTGCCTAAGTCCAGCTAAGAAGCCTGCAATGTTCCTAACTTTTTTCCTTTGTTTACATTACAGCATATATTACGACAGGTTGTTAGTTTCTGCACGCCAGTGTTGTTCTACCGGTGTAATGTACTTTTTCATGGCAGTTTGGAAATTTTTCTCAGTTCTGGTTAACATTGGCTTCGTGGTTACCTGTGAGCCCTGGGACCTAGACAGCTTTCTGTCCCTATTTCTTTACGGTCATCGCTCAGTATATTGTTGATCCTACCTCAAGTGTGGCCAGTGCTTTGACTTGGTTACTTGAGGTTATATGCCTGTTCTATTCTCATCGTTTTAATCCCTTAAGTAGAACTCAATTGAGTATAAGGAAATTGATCAGACTAAAATTTTTAACTTTTTTAGGGAATGTATTATATTTATGATAGAGACTATTTGCAGAAAATCATATGAGGAATGGGAATGTGAATTTTTACTTCTGCCAGCGTTGTTTTATTGCTATTATGCAAGCATATAATACAGCATAATATTGCTATTCTAAAGCAGTTTCAAGGCTACGAATAAGGGTCTAAAGGTGAAACGACTCTGTGTTTCTGTTTCAAATAAAACTGAAGGTACTTGAGTAACTTTCATTCCTATAACGATTTGGCGTCCTTTTATTGAGGGAGTATACTGAAACTATTGACAGTTTCCGACCAAAGTGGTAAAAATACAAGAGAACGATAATCAATTTTATGCCAATTAATCAATGATAGATGGATTTGTAGTAGGATTTATGACATGTCATTAAATGCGTTGCGCCAATCATTTCTTGTACAGTATCGTTGAACAACAGGGACTTCGAGAGAAGGGGAAAACTGATCTCACGGGATGGCAAACGGCCGAGGAGGATCAAGGTAAAATCATCCACTTAACATAAATCAGGGTGAGGCGTGAGTGGAAGAGTGTGGGAGGGCCATAACTTCCTTAATAACCCAAGCGAACAATGAACAAACTAAAAACCCATTACAGCGGAAGGAGGAATGTCGGTTTAATGGCCACCATTACCTGTACAGGTGGTTAGAGCATATCACTTTCCAAGATTTTTCCAGGGTAAAAGCGTCGGGGGTGGCAGCGGCGGCGGCGGTTTAGTGCCGGTATAAAACCGCCGGCCGGCTTTACCGTTCCTATTTTACGAGGGCCGACTCGAACCTTTTCAATTCTACAGGGCCCGACGGACCCGCGTTATCGCCTTCAGGCATAAAATCTTTACGTGTTACCGATATCCTAGTTGGTTGAGGTCAAAAAACAAAAAAAAAGGGGTAAAGCTGTAGTCATGCAATAATTATGGCTTTATGGCATGTACGAAGCACACTGCTCGCTGGGACGGAAAAAATTCTAAATACTCTACGCATTTATTGGGTTGTACCATATGAAATATTAATCTGTTTATGTTTAGTGATCTAATTTACTAATTTACTTATTTATAATAATTAATTTCTTTTTATGTAAGGTCTTGGTCCAAGGTGTCCGAGTGGATCGAAGTCACGATAGCTTAAAGTGGTTAGAGCAGCCGTGTATTGAGCCGAAGGTCGTGCGTTCGAATCCCGCTCGTGACACTAACTCTTTTATCTCAACCAAGACTATACATAAAAAGAATAATTAATTAATGTATAATGTTGCCCGTTCATCTTTAGCATTCCAAGATACACGAAAGAAACCTCATTTTGATATATTTCAAATGTTTATGCATGTTAAAACAAGTATTTATGAGTCAAATTAATTTTAATCAAGATTACATTTACTTAATGTTGCCTAGTCTCAAGTTTTGAAATTATTGTATTCTGCAGAGCCTTTCTTAAACAGAATATTTCATCATTTTAAGATAAAAATGATTGGAAACATCCAAACTATAGGTTCGCTATCTCACAGACGCCATGAAGAACCACTAGACAAAACAAAGTGAAATAGAGCTGTTTGTTGTCTGTTTATTAACATCTGTTTACGTTTGTATACCTTTAGAACGTAGATGATGATGACGAAAAGTAGGAAGCAAGGGTTTTGTACTCTCCAAGCCCTGCAGCTTTCTGGTTTATTGTATTTTACAAGTTCCTTACTTCAATTCAATCGAGTCGATCCTTCTCTTAAAAAGTATTAGGCCATTGCTGCAATTCCTTCCCCTGGGTCTTCTTAATATCCTAGGTTATGTTCACATTGGACGGTTGCTTCCCATTCTAAGATGGTACGGGTGGTTCCAGTTTTCTTACACCTCGTTGCATAACCTAACAAATGGAGTCATCATGGAATTTACTCATGTTGTGTAGGTTTTGCTCAGCCAATAGCTTGTACATAGTCCAATTATTACCCTTTCTAACTGTAGCAATGCATATTTTGGTAAGGGTTCTTTTCTTTAATCATACTGTGCCTGGGTTCTTCCACCTTTTTTCATATATTTTTTTTTATTACGCATTTTGAGATGTAGGATTCAGTAGTTGACCATGTTATCCCAACTATAGTTTTGAGTCCTGCATATGGTCTTGCAGATCCTCCTGTGACTAGTTTGTCTGTCTGGATTATGTGCATTTCAGAGTTTCTTCAGGTTTCGTATGCTGGAACTTTTAACGTGGTAGTGCTTTTAGCTTGTCTGGTCTTATGAAAGCTTTTCTGTCTGTAAATGTTCAGTTTGACTAACATGAATTCTCTGAGTTTGATTGCTCATATTTTAGAATTACACAGAGTTTATCTGACCCGGTTCCTTCGGCTTGGTCTGTAAACCATTTTGATTTTCTTATGATTTCTTTTTCTAACTTGTAGTCTATTATAGGGTTTAGACCGTTACTGATCATCGTTATTCTTGCTAAGTGATGTCACCTCTGCTAGAAATCCAATCACATTCCACTATTTCGCTAGAAATTATTAAAATGAGACTAGACGAAAATTGTGTAAAGGCGTCCTATGACCTATAGACATTTTCAAAAACGAAATATTTGCCCACTTCAAGTTAAAAATGAACGGAAACGGCCAAAAATACAAATTCACCACCCCACAGATCCCACGAAAAAATGTCAAAACTTTAAGACAAAACAAAGTGAAATTGAACTATTCATTTGTCAGTGAAGTCTTTTAAAAAATCGAATAAAATTTTTGCTATTTCACTTCAGCTCGTAAAAACAAAATAAACAATGCACAGACACAAAAAGTCGGAATATTTACAGCGAAAACAAGTGGAAAAACAAAGTTTACAGAATGCAATTATGTAGATGCCAAAACAATTTTAACATGTCGAATTAAACATGAACCTTATAAATGAATAAACATGATATGAACAATTCTAAAAGCGACATTTGGCCATATCGAGGCCGCAGGCTATCAAGGGTATGAGACAATCGGTGTTCACAGATGCGTCAAATCATAAAGCAGGCAACATGAATATGTTTATGCTGAACTTTGCTCACATAAAGTTCTCTTCCGACTCATTTAACTTGAATCTTCACGTACCGCCCGTGAAGAGAACGCCTACACGGTTTGTTCCATTTTCAAGACTGTGTAAACAGTTCTTAACTGATTGATAATTTTTAATCTCAACCATATTTTACATAAAAACAATAAATCAATTTGAATAATCACTTTGGTTAATTGGGGACCAACTAAAACGCAGATTAATATAACAGTCCTTAATATTCGTCAAAGTTAAGTCGTTAAGTCATAACAATAATCAAGTTATCTAAGTTTCAATCTCTGATAGGAAGAAAAGGTTATCTTCCTTAACGATCTTCTTTTATAATGGAACACAAGCATTTACTATGCATCATTTTCTACTAAGTTGACAGCTAAAACTGTAAAATAATTGTTGAGCAAAACACACAAGTAGGTTAAGTCAGTAACGGCCCAGTCGAAACATAACAAAATCAATGGAAAATTTCGAATAAACTAGGTGGTCGTAATTAACAGTCCTTGTTTGTCACAAGGCCGGACTTTTCATGTGCTACCACCCAATAATTTTCAGACAAAACGTTCCGTATGAACTGTGATCAGAGACGAAAACGTGCTATGAACAAATTTTGTCATGCCGGTTAAAAATCTCCTACTTACATGACAGTCTTTTTCTTCTTTTTTCACTTTTTTGTGTTCCGGCTCTGGGGGGCTCCTGGGCCTGTACTTTTCCCTTTCGGCTGGTGAAATCGAGTTTCTCTGCAACAAGTATATTGTCGTTATTAAAATTTAATACAAGTAAGTTATAACAGTTATGAAATGGCTAGTAAGTATCATCGGAGATGATAAAGAAGCAGGTTCGTGCAGACAACAACAGTTTCTCATTGTTAGTTAGTTTGGATTCCTAATTGCATTAAAGTTTAGTTAGATTCGGAAATCGATAGTAGAATAAAAAAAAGTTTCTCTCTGAAGATGGGCAATGCCGCAATACGTTTGACTGGTTCAACACCTGCGAATGAAGACGGGCCCAATAAGCGATTAAATGCCGTTGAGTAAACTCAATTTCAAGAATAAGTAAAGACCGGTGAAGTTGAGCCAGTGTGGTGCTTGTGCATCATGTTGGTTACTGCTGCATATACGATTTTAGCAGTTTGCTATCGAGTATGATTAGAGAATGATATTGAAAAGAAGTGCGACTCTACGAACATTTCCTCCGAACATTCTCCTGTGCCACTCGAGAGGGGAAAAAGCGGGTTGCGGGAAAAAAGTGTCGCTTATGAAAAGTGGTTGGGTATCGGTGAAAAAAGGGGTTGAGAGTGACAGTAAGGCATTAATATAACAGAAGAGGGGTCCCGCATAATAAATTCTATAGGAAGGCCGACCTTTTTACCCGGCCTTTCGTCGGGAAAAAGAGGTTATTTGTTTTAGAGGCGATTATACGGCGGGGTTGGAGGCCCTAGTTGATATTCATGCCCCCTTGATACGCGGCCTCCCCGAGAAAAAAGAAGGAAAATACAAGGGGATTTTCAGGCTTTTCCTGTCGCGGAAAAAGCCGAGGGAAAACAGCAAGGTGAGTGGTAGGGTAAAATAAACAAGAGGAGATCAAGCAAGTACGTGGACTGAATGCTGGCAACGAGTCCCACAATGCCCCGGCATTTTCCCAATCACTCGATCCCCTGTATTCTGAGCACGAGCCACTCCAACTTCTACACTATGTTATTGATACGACCTCTACCTCCTTCCTCCTCTCCCGTCTTACATATTTATGCGTCGGGTTGATCGCGCTTTGATGCTTTTTTCGCCGTCTTACTCTTTTATGGAAAGACCAAACATTTCCGATTCGAAGCAAGCCGGCTGTTAAAAGTACGGTTATCGAAAGAGGCTGGGTGCCTGACGAAACAAGCAAACACCTGTCACCCCCTATAGCCCTATTGTGTACGGAAGCCCTCCACTTTCCCCCTCAAACTGCACAAAGGCGACGATGACCGTTGAAAACTCTTGATTTTTAACAACATTGCACTATGGTAGAGCAACCGTGACAGGACCAAATGTCGGTTAATATTATTAGTAAAACGGGAACTAAAGAACCTAATCTCTTGGCATAATCTTCCTATAAGACCCTTCAACCCCAATAAACGAACTATCCAGAAAAGTCATAAACAGGACTAATTTTCTATTTTCGACATCATTGGCTTCTGCTGCTAAACTGTTTTCTTAGCAAATATTTGATATTTTGATTAGATATTACATCTCTCCTTCTTTGCGAGTGTATAGAATAACACATCTTTAGCCAAGTATAAGGAAAAGTTCCCTGATGCGGTTTAATCTTCTTCGGACGACTAGATTCTTATCCCTATCCTACCGGGTCATGAAAACTGCAAGCTAAGTCTAATCTCCTGATTCCATGATGGTAAGACCCATCAACGACCAACAACTCCAGAAAAACGTGGATAATACAGTCAAGAATGGCGTCTGCTAGTGTTTTCTCAGCACACGTTTTAAGTCTTTATAATGGTGGCCCCCCCAAACATGCTGTATTCGCCATATGCCGATTGCCGAATGTTTGCCAAATCTCGAGATGGTCGCTTGGCGGGGTTTGCATAACTTCCGGATACAGCGAATACGTATTTGCCAAGTGCCGCGCGAGTCTCAACTTACTATCAATCGTGATGGACAACAGTGAAACTGTTATTTTAGAAGCTGCAGTTACTGTTTTGTGCAGTGGCTGCAAACTAATTGAAAGCAAAGCGTAAGAAAAGGAGATGTTGGATGGTATCACTAAATCATCAACACCTGTCCCGCTTTTGATGCTCTCCTTAATTTTTTTGATGCCCCATCCTACTTTCGATGCGTGGAAATGAAAAAAAGGAAAACCTTCCGTTTTTTATGATTCGTAAGAGAAGCTTTTCAAATTATTGCATCTGTTTCGTAAACATCGAGGAACCCAAGACTGTTGCGGGTTGCGATAATCCATTAATAATTAAAAAAATGCTATGTTGTTATTGTGTAAATTAAAACATCTGTGGCCGCGGAGTTACTCGGTTAATGACGTCAGAATAATTAAAAAAGATAATACTTTTTTTTAGTAACGGAAGGTTGTTTTTTTTTTGTCTTGGTAATGTGATGTTTAACGTGCGGTTCATTGTTGTTCTAAACCAAATAATATTTTCATTCTTATGTTAATTGACACTGTTATTTAAAATCCAATAAATAAATTGTCAAGGTAAAAAAGTTAGTGTGTTGTGTATTGAGAACTATCGAACCAACCACACATCTACACTAGTTACGAATCGTTTATTAATGAAAAAGAAATAGCATTAAATAGATGTGGACACTTACTGTTGATTTTGATAGCAGTTGACAGTTGGTTAAAGGTATATAGAGTTACATTTAATTCACGAATGTGTGGATGCTTGATGTTACTACAAGAATATTCGTGCACTTTGAGGCGGACAAAAAACCGACAATAAGCGGACCATCGAATATTGCTCGGCGAATAACCGGGCATCCATCCCCACTAGTCAGGATTCGGAGAACCTTTGCTCGGCGTGTCTGGAGCCACCTTTAGATCAACTTATCTCCAACTATGAGGGTTAGAAAGTTGATATAAATATCATCAAGACTAGAGGAGAGTTCGCTGATGCGGTTTGATCTTCATCGGAGAGTTGTGTTCTTTATCACGTCATGATGATCTATTCTACCAGTGTGCAAATAAATCATCAGAGCAGAATGCGATTTCACGCACAACCGCATAATAGAAGCATGTTGGCCAGTTGAAACAGAAATCGATAGTGGCTATCCAGTTATAAACGCCATGCAGGTTACAAACTTCAATCGTGTCGAGCGGAAATCGTGATGTCCGTCAAGGCGTGATGCGGCGGACCCAATTAAGCCGGCCGTGAGCTCCCGTCTGCTAGTGCCGAAAGTGCGATGTCGGGGACCACACGCAACGGACTGGATCCTTTTCAATCAATCTTTCGACTGCAACAGGTCCCGAGAAAACACGCCAGGCCTTTCCGACGCGCGAACCCGTCAGCGTGAGTGAAAGAAATTGAAAATTATCACGGAAGAAGGATCGGCCGGTTGAAAGTAGTATTTTGCCATTTTGGAACAGACGGCAGTTCCATTATTACGATCACCTGTGGGATGTCATGCCACGTCCTTGCGCTCAGATTCTTTTTATCTTCACGTCAACTATACACAGTAAAAACGGTTTCTCACTGTCTGAATCACCCCCAAAGATTACCACCCCTCTACACTTCTAATACTCCGTACAAAATTGTATAAATTATTTTTATTACCTTGACTCTAAGTAAATTCTACATTAATCCTTCGTACCTAACATTTTTAATTTAATCTTTATCCTCTCTGGGTTCCCCCCCCATTTTGCCATCTTCTGTGTGTAAGGCAAACCAAGATGATCAGTAAGAATCAAATTACAGGTTAACCACCCGATAGGCCACAGGAGGAAATTTCACTTTATTACTTAATTATACTTTGAACGTTTATATTTTAGATAATAAAATCCACTTCCTGTAGGGCAGTTTTACTAGGTAAAAAAAAAAATTCCTATACCTCCATGTTAACTACATGAAAAATTTGATCTTTTGAATTTTTTTAATAGTCAATAAGCAACTTTTTCGAACATTTAACTAAGTTTAACCTAATAACTATGAAATTAACTAATAAAGAAAAATGTTTATATTGAAATGTCATTTTGGCAGTTTTACTACGTAGTTTCTGATCATGCTAGTCCATCGATTATTGCCATTTTGGCAAATTTCGTCCATCGTAAGTGGTGGGATAATGTCGAATCAGGAAGACGAAGCAGTCAAGAATGATAGAGGCGATTAGGAATCTTCTTCCTGCAGAATAGAATTGTTCAAATTCCCACAATATTCATTCACACAAATTCTTGTGAACCTCAAGGATTGTAACATATATGTTTACTTATCTTATGATTGAATTTTCAATGAATGTACAACTTTTCACAAATTTTAGATAAGATTACGCTGTGAATTATTCAATTTATTAATAAAGAAAAAATTACATTGACCTGTCTTACGGAAGTTGTACGTGGTAGTTTCTGATTATACTAAACCCATCTTTGGTAATTTTTGGCTTGGTGTTATTCATTGTGTGGATTAGAATCGAACCAGGCCAAGAATGTTTGGGAACGGTCAGACTAAAAATTGTTCACCCCGCAGATTACAAAAACAAATTTGGTTTAAAGATAGACATGCTAATCTCGAATTTAGCCGAAAAATCACCTATTGAACAATTCATTCAAACGCGTTCATCACCGACTTGCAGACCAACAACCATAACCATTCAGAATAAAAGCGATATAATTTTCTCATCAGCGTGTTAAATGTTTAATGTTAAGGCGAACACATATCAAACGCGGTTACCTTCCCACAGGCCCAACGTAAAGAACAGCTTTATTATTTACCTCCTGGACTGGAATCAATAACGTTAAGAAGGTCCGTAAAGCTTAATTAGCAGAAGTGTTTCTTGTTTCTTTACTCACTCTAATGCATTGTATAGGGGTCTTTGGTACATCCCCTTCTATAAAGTGGCTATTAATTATAGCGGGAAGCTAGTAGAGTTTAGATTAGACGCCCACGGGCGAGCCCTAAATGTCTCTAATTGCCATTCCCCTCCCTTGCGACTAATCCTGAAAATCTGTATAATCACTCTAATTGGCTTTTAATTGCAAAACCGAGCCTTTATTGTGACTCGTGCTGGTTTTTGGACCG